CATCCTAGCTCAGGTTCTCACCATCTCTCCCATGAACTATGGCTTCCACTTCCTTTCAACTCTCAGTAGTCTGGCTTCCAATTTCATCATTCAATCTAAACTGCCTTCCCTAAAGTTACCAGTGATCTCATAATTACCAAATCTAATGGCCTTTCCTCAGTGCTCAATCTTCTTGACTTCTCTACAGCCTCTGACACTGGTGATCACCCTCTTTTTCTTGATATTTTCTTCTCTCTAGGTCTTCATAACACAGCTCTCTTCTGATTCTTTTTCTACCTGTCTGGCCACTCCTCAGTCTCATTTGCCGGATCTTTATCCAAGTCATTCCCATTAACCGTAAATGTCTCCCAAGGATGTGTCCTGGGCCCTCTATACTATTTCACTTGATCTCATGAGCTCCCATGTATTCAATGATCATCTCTCTGCAGACAATTCCCAGATCTATTTCTCCAGTCTTAACCTCTCTCCTGACCTCCAGGCTTGCATCTCCAATCACCTATAGATATCTTGAGCTAGATGACCCATGGATATCTCAAACTCAACATGTCCAAAGTTGAACTAATTATCTTTTCCCCCAAGTCCTGCCTTATTCCTAACTTCTGTATTATTGAGGGCACCACAATCTATCTAGTCACCCAGGTTCTCAACCTAGGTGTCAGCCTCAACCCCTCCCTTACACCCCATATATCCAATCAGTTGCCAAGTCCTGTCAATTCTACCTTCATGGCATCTTTCATACATGCCACTTTTCTCCTCTGACACTACCACCACCCTAATGCAGGACTTCATTTCTCCCCTGGAGTTATTAAAACAGCATTCTGATTGGATTCTTGACCTCAAATCTCTCCCCACTCCAATCCATCCTCCAATCAGCTGTTAAATCAATCCTTCTAAATTATAGGTCTGACCATATCATCCCTCTATGGCTCTCTATTACCTCTGGGATCAAATATAAAATCCTGTGTGGTTTTTAAAGCCCCTTCCTACCTTCCTCTTACACAGCACTTCATCTCCTAACTCTGCATTTTTATTGGCTGTCCCTCATACTTGGAATTCTCTCCCTCTTCAGCTTTGCTTCCTGGTTTCCTTCAAGCCTCAGAAATCCCAACTTCTGCAAGAAGCTTTTTTCCAGCCCCCCCCACCCCTGCCAATGCTAGTTCCTTTCCTCTGAGACTAAGCATATACAACTATATCTCCAATTTATCTTGTATCTATTCTGTTTATACATACTCATTTGTAAGACTATGAGCTCTTTGAGAACAGGGGCTATTTTCCCCTTTCTTTGTATACCGAGGGCATAGTATACTGCCTAGATAGAATGTGGTTGTTGTACAGTCACGTCTGTTTATTTGTGACCATGCGGATCTTACTGTCCATAAGAGTTTTCTCGGCAAAAATACTGGAGTGGTTTGCTATTTTCTTCTCCAATGGGTTAAGGCAAACAGAAGTTAAGTGACTTGCCTAAGGTCACACAGCTATTAAGGGTCTGAGGCCGAAGTTGAAGTCAGGTCTTCCTGACTCGAGGCCTAGCGCTCTATCCACTGAGCCATCTAGCTATTCCAACCATCTAGCCCAGAATATAGTAGGCAATTAATAAATGTTTCTTGACTTGAAAATTGGGCATGAGGTAGTGAGACCAAGGACTAATGCAGTACCAATGGGAATAAAAGAGGAACAACTGGAAACAACACACAGAAAGAACTGATGGGACATGCTGACTGCTTGACTTTGGGGAAATAAAGGAGAGCAAAGGAGTCCAAGATACCTCCAAAACAGAGCTGTACCTAGGTTAAGCTAGTTCCTCATGCTAACAGGTTTTTACAATCAAAATGGCCCCTTCTGTGCCAGGTCTTCTTTGGGGGAAGGAGATTTCTAGGTTTTCATTATACAGACAGCTCGGTGCCCATCTTAGACTATGTTTATGTCAGACACTCAACTACAGATGGGCTAGATCTGCTCAGAAAATGAACGAAAACATTTTTAAACATCCTGAACAGAGAATCTGGTAAGCAATAAATCTTATTATTTAGGAGTGGCAACATCATAATCAAGAAGCTTCCAGGTCCTGGAGAGGTCATTATTTGATATTATGTTATCCATAGAGGTTTTATGTAATTTCCCCAGCAGTCAGAGTAGGTAGCTGGGCCAAATGTCAAATATGTTCCTTTGCATGTTTGGGTTCCAGCCTTTAACTGCAATGGATCTGGCAGAAGGGCTCACAGATTTGGCCATGGTAGTTTACCAGTTATTACATCCTATCCCAGAGATAGCATCTTTTCATGTTGTAGGGATGGTCTTGCTCTGCTATTACAGGAAAGACCACAAGGGAGCAGCAAAGGGTCATCACTGCAATGTCTAGCTGTTTGGAAGCCATGGAAAAAAGAGAAATTTCTCCCTCCAAAAAGGGGAAATAGAAGAGAAGCAGATTCCCAAGTGGGTTCAAGGCAGCAAGCTGGCTCTCTTCACACTTAACAGGAGAAAGAGATGGCTCACTTTAATCAGCTAGCTCCTCCAGTACCCAATACCTTTCCTCCATCTCTGCTCCTAGATTTGTTAGAAATGGCAAAGGTGGGTTAAGGTGTCAGAATCTTTTACCCTGTTGTGTGGGTTCTCTACAGTTCTATAGGACTATGACTGGGCAGAAGACTGGACAAGGCAGAAATAGGTTCACTTCATCTCAAGATGTTAAGTCCCATTATGGCCAATGAGGGAAGCAAACTACCAATAATGTTCCACGGCTGTGTTGAGAGGGTTTGGATTTACTGGGAGGGATAACTGCTGGACCATTCCTCTCAGGATAGTAGTAACAACAACCTTAGAGAGAAATATGAATTCATTCCTCTCCTCCCCACTGGCCATCTGGACCCAGACCAAACTCTTATGTGCCCAACGAAACAAATGGTAACGGCCCATATTTACTAGCACTTTAGGATCCTTCAAAGTACTTTCCTCACACCAACCTTGTAAACTAGGTAGTGCAAATATCTCCATTTTATAGATGAGGAAACAGAGGTGGATAGATGATGTACCATGGCCAAGGTCACAAAATAATGACATTTATACAGAACTTGAAAGTTTGCAAAGTGTTTTGCATAATTCTCATTTAAGCCTCACAACAAGTCAAAGGAAAAAAAGTATTATCCTCATCTTACAGAGAAGGAAACTAAGGTTTAGAGTCACAGACAGAATATCAGGATTTAAAGATAAGTCTTTGGACCTAGTACAAGGGGAAATTTTTTTTAACAAAATAGGGAAATTAAGCCTCTTTCCATACTGAAAATTACCACAGACATATGTTCTTACACATAATTTCATATTTAATATGAAATTTGAAAGGAAATATCTCTAATACTGCCATTTTTCATGGACTCCCTAGTCACACTGTATGGGACACACTTGGGTTTCCAGATACAGTTCGGAAAACATTGCTTTTTAGCAATGTCTTCCAAACAGCCCACTAAAATGGCACAAATACAATCATATACAAGGAAAACATTTTGTCTCTGGATAAAATGGGGCACTTAGTCCAAAATCTAGGTGCAGCTGCCCTTAGCAATACCAATGGCTCCTTTCACTTCTTTCTGTTGCTATCAGGCACCAAGAAAACCAGACATCTCTTCTCCTTAGGGACAATTAATAGGCAGCCTACAGAGGAGGTAACACTGGTCCAACATCTAGAGAATGTTGGGAAGAAACCCTAGGAACATGGCAGCTGCCAGCCAAAGACTCCCTGAAGTAATGAAAAAGGTAGGGAGAGAACAAACAAGATAGAAGCACAAAGTTGGTTAGTTCCATTATTATGTACCCTGAAGTGAGACTTCTGACAACCTTAATAATTCTCAGGAACTTGGTTCCTAACTCCTAAATAGAAATTAAAAAAGGAAAGGCTTGAAACACTGGTCACAAAGCGCCTATGCTCAAGTTGGGCACTTCATTCCTGTCTTGTTTCAGCTTGGTTGATTCTTGTTTGCACTTTTACTTCAATGGATCTATGACCTTGATGACGGGAACACTATGCAATGATGAGGGTCACAACCCATCCAATCTTCATCCTATGTTATCCATCCTTGTCCATGTTCTCTCATAAATCCTACAGAGAGGATGACCTCTCCCTTATGTGCCAGAGATCTTCCAGCCAAAGCAGCACTGAAGGCAATACATCCCTCAATCTCCCCCTGTGACTTAAGCCCTAAAAATGAAACTACCTTCTGACTAAGGGAAATTCTCAAACACGACAACAGTGAAAACTGAATTCATGTAGAGCTTCAAAATATGTAAAGCCTTTTAACAAACAGTATCTCATTCATTCTTCATAACAACCCTGTGAGGTAGGTATTGTTATCTTCACTTTATAGAGGTGGGAACAAAGGTTCAGAGCTCTTAAATGACCTGCCCTTGATCATATACCTATTAAGTGTCAAAAAGTGGCCCTGACTTCAAGTCCAGAAATCTAACTACACAGTAACCAGAGAAATATTTTTTATCTCGTTTTTAATGAAAACATATTTTTTCCTGTTTTACTTGGCCTGGAAATATACAGTTCTTATCTTACATAGGTACACAAACTTCCACTTTGATGCATGAATACCAAGCACATAAATCATTTCCAAAAGGAGACAAAGATCAAAGGCCATCAGTCCAAAAAGTCAAGAATCTGGGTGAAGAGATCAAGCCATCCAATTTTTTACAAAAGGTCAACCAAATGCCTCATTCTTAGCCATTCAACTTGAAATGATGACAAGCTGCACTGGGTAATGCACGTGCCACAATGTCCCCTCTTGGGTAGTAACAAATAAGAGGAAGGATTTGGGAGCTTGAAGAAATCAATAGCCATATTTTTCATTAAGATGGGTCCTGCCATCACCGCTCTGGCCTGTTTCAAAACAAAGAAAACATTTACTTTCCAAAGTCAGAAAGCAAGAGAAAGTGTTCAGCAGTCTGCCAAAAAAGGAGAAGACAGTGGAAAGAGAGTAAAGATAGGAAAGGAAACTGGTACCCACCTTCAGGTGGTACCCATACACAGTAGTCTGGATCATCTTCTGGATACTTTGAGGAAAGCATTTGTGGTATCTGCAAGAAAAAAATGGGCTAATCAATCCCAGACTCAGAGTGCTTGATAACACTGACAAAGATAAAGAACCTCTAGGGGCTATATCTTTGCTTGTTCTTTTATGTCCCATAAATTGAGTCACTGATTTTTAGTAATTTAGAAAAAATAGTGATTCAAGATAGATCCCTTGCTGTCAGTAAAAGGGGGATTGACTGTCCCTACTCTCCCCACCTCAAGTGAGTGACTATCCTATTCTGATTATCATACAGATCACCGGCTTCTCAAACTGAAAATATAATTAGGAATAAGTTAGGTAGTTAATACCTTAATTTACTATGATTGTGAAGAGCACATTTATGACTTCATTGGTACAGGAAATTCCTAGTGAAGAAACTCCCTCTGCCAACACGGAGATAAGTGCTTCGCAACTTACAATCTCAGATAACTGTCTGAAAAAGGACTCACAATCTCAGATACATAAGAAACTAACTGAAACTTACAAGACTAAGAGCCAGAAACATAAAAGTCCCAAGAGCTAAATGGTCAAAAGACATGAACAAGTAATTTTCAAAGGAAAAAAAAACCCAAGTTACTAAGGGCCATATGAAAAAATTCTCTACATTATTAATGACAGGATAAATGCAAATCAAAGCAACTTTGAGATTCTATCTCACATTCATCAGACTTGCAAAGGTGGCAAAACAGAAAAATAACAAATGTTGCGTAACTATAGGAAAACAAATACTTGGAGGAGGAGCTGTGAGTTGGTCCAGACATTCTGGAAAGAAATTTGAAATTGCCCAATAAGTTACCAAATTGTGTATGCCCTTTGCCCCAGCTATACCACTACTAGGCCTATGCTCCAAAGAACTGAAAGAAAGAGAAAAAGAACATATACATGCAAACATATTCATGACAGTTTTTTTTCGTGGTAGCCAAAAATTAGAAACTTAAGAGAGTGTCTTCCTATTGAGGAATGTCTAAACAAATTGTGGCATATGAACATAATGGAATATTAAATGTTATAAGAAATGAGAGAGATGGACAGTTTAAATGGATACTAGGAAGAGCTCTCATGATTTGAGGCAAACTGCAGTGATCAGAACTAGGAGAACAATCCATAAAATGATAATAACATTGTAGAGAAAAACAACTTTGAAAAACTTAAAACTCTGATCAATGGAATGATAAACCAAAAGAGTAAAGAGTCCAAAAGAATGAAGATAACTTCCTGTAAGAGAAGAGAACTTAAAATGAAGAAAGAGAGATACATTTCTGGACATGCCCAAGGTAGAAATTTGTTTTGCCAAACTAAGCATATAGGTATTGAGGAATTTATTTTTTCCTTAAAAAAAAAAATTGTTCAGGGGGAGGTAGTGAGAGTGGCAGAATTAAAGGGGAAAAAAAAGATTAGTTGAAAAAGAATTATAAATAGCAATGTCAAAGACACCATGCTTTGAGAAACTAGACCAAAAAATAAGCCCACCTGACACATTAATATTTATTTACAGTGATTATTTATTTTACTTTCATATTAAAATTATCATATCAATTATATTGTTTTATCATAATTCAGTATAATGTTGATATTGATATTACGATTATTTATGTCATAAATACCTAAGTATGTTAAATTATTTTATGTTTAATATTGGTTTGTACGTTAATAAAATTGAAACAATTGTTTTTTTAAAGAGAGAGAAAGTTGCCTGGGGCACTGAAAGGTTAAATTATTTGTCCAAGGTCACAAAGCCAGTCACAAGCCAGATCTGAACCTAGGTCTTCTTGATTTCAAGGTTTAGCTTTCTATCCATTAAGCCACATAGTTACCATACAACCGTTTATACTACTAATAATAATGGCAGTATCAAGAATTTTTAAAAGTAATTTTACTTTTTTTTAACATTCAGTTTTTAAAACTTTGAGTTCAAAATCTTCTCCCTCCAGCCCTTTCCCCAGCTTTTGAGAAGGCAGAGGCAATATGACATCAATTATACATGTAAAGTCATGCAAAACATATTTTCATATTAGCTATGCCCCACAAATTAAATAAATAAAGAAAGTGAAAAAATTTTGCTTTAACCTTCATTCAGAGTTCATCAGTTTACTTTCTGGACATGGACAGCATTTTTCATTATGACTCCTTCAGAACTGTCATGGACCATTGTATTGATCAGAGTAACTAAGTCTTTCACAGTTGATCATTATAACATTGCTGTTACTATGTACAATGTTTTCCTGGTTCTGTTTAGTTCACTCTGCATCAGTTCATAAAAGTCTTTACAGATTTTTCTGACATCATCCCCCCATATCATTTCTTCTAGCATAATAGTATCCCATCACAATCATATACCACAACTTGTTTAGCCATTCCTCAATTAAAAGGCACTCCTCAATTTCCAATTCTTTGCCACCACAAAAAGTGCTGCTACAAATTTTTGTACATACAGGTCCTTTTCCTTTTTCTTTTATTTCTTTGGATACAAAGTAGTGGTACTGCTGGGTCAACAGCACCAAGAATTTAGAAATGCTTGATCCTCATAATAACCTTTTGAAGCAGGAATAGCAATTATATATTTCTTTCCTCATTTTACAAAGGAGAAAACAGCCTTAAGGAGGCTGACTGATTTCCTTAACGTAACAGAGTTGATGGAGGTAAGAACCAGACCTAGGTTTTCTGACTCCTAAGTTCACTTCTTTACACATTAAATCATTAACAGTGACAATAACAAGGTGCATAGCATTTTCAAAAACACCAATTAAATGCCTTCAATATGTACAGCAGGGGAGACACAAGTGCAAAAAAGACATGTATATGAATTCCAAAAATACAAAACAGAATATACAAACACAGTGATGAAAGTTTCTGGGAGGGAGGGATATTTGAACTGGACTTGAAGAACAGGTAGGTTTCAGTAGCCAGAGAGAGGAGGGGAGGCATTCCAGATATGGTGTAGACAAAAGCATGGAAAGAGAAAAATGTGGCATGGATTTTCAGTAGTTCGTAGTCTAGTTTGTTGGAAAGAGAGAGAGAGTAGTGAGAGAGATGACTGAAAAGGTAGTTTGGAGCAAGTCTGTGGTGTTTCAGGCTAAGGAGTACAGACTTGGGCCTTTAGGGAATGGGAAGCCACTGAAAGATGTGAAAGCATTCAGTGACATAATCAGAACTGTATATGGATGATTCTAGTAGTTGTGTGATGAACAGCTTGGAAAGGGGAGAGGGAGAACAGAAGTATGGGACACACAGTCACTGTAATAGATGGCTACTACTGGTGCCTCAATAAAAGATGAGGATGAGAGCTGAAGGGGGCAGCAGCCACAGCTGCAGGAATGGAAAGCAGCCCAGACAAAGTGCCAACACCCAACCAGCAAAGACGACATAAAGGACTTACTCTGCTTGGACCAGAAGATTTCTTCAGTGCTTCCTTGCTCTGCTTGCAGCTATTCTTTGACTCTGGTGAAAAAACAAAGCTCCATCACTCCAATGAGCCAGAATTAAACACACTAATTTTTGCTCCACCAAAGTCATAATCTGCTTTAAAACAATATACCTTCAAAACCCTGCAGTTAGAATCAGTAACGCAGGAGGGAAGTAAAAATCCTGAGTTGAGTGAAATGTAACAACTTATCTAGGGAAGGCTCTTGGTACTATTTTTACAAGTTAATTCCAATTCAGTAAAAATAAAATATGGAAGAGAATTTCTCCTTTCAAAAAACTCATATATTTCTAATCCATAGATATTTCATGATCATGTAAAATAGTTAAGTATAATTCATACCACTGGGATAGTAATATGCAAAACTAGTCATAATAGAATCCTAGAGTATGGATTTGCCATTCCATAATTTAACACTTAAGAGGTAAAATTAGTTCACTACTATTAATCTTTTTTTGTTTCATCATAAGAAATTACACTACTATAACACCTTGAGGTTTACAAAGTACTTTCCTCCCCCACAATGTAGGTAAAGGATTATTATGCCTTTCTTTACAGTGATGAGAAACTCAGGGTCAAAGTAGTAAAATTAGAGCTGGAGACAGGCAGAGCCAGAAACTTACACCTGGTCTCCTGACTCAATTCTGGTGGCTCATCCTTCTAGCCAGACTTTCTTGTGAGTTCTAAAATCTCCCCTGGGACAAGACTTATCCTAGGACTTGTAACTTGTGTGACTCTGGTTAGTATGAAGGTACTAGGCATTTCAAGAGGAAGACAGAAGGGCAGGCAAGGGGGATGACCAAAATCCTTCAGCGGCATCTTTACAAGTAAGTCCTAGGTCCTGGCAGATGCCACTGCCACCACCCTGTCATCTCGTCTGCTGTCTTGTGGTCAATGCTCAGTGTCAAGGTTGAGGCTATCAGTTGCTCACCTGAGGACTCCCCTTGTATCAGGGCCACTCCCTCGTCCTCTGGGCATCCTTTATTCAGTCTTTCCTGGCTGGGCTGAGTCAAAGACGACCCTGTTTCTGCAAAAAGCAACACCAACGCACATAGTCAGGCAGTACACTGGAGGATGGGGAGATGCTCCAGGATGAGAACAATTCCAGCATCTAACACCATCTTTAGTGCCAGCAGCTTCAACCACTGACATTTGGATTTTGCTTAATGCAGAACTATCACCTTTCAATTTTAAATAATAGATCAAACTTCATCCAAGAGAATGACAATAATGAGACAACATACCAAAACTTAGGGGATGCAGTGAAAGTAGTCCTTATGGGAAGTTTTGTTTAGAACCATTTTTTACAGATATTTGGAGGGGTTTGGGGGAGAACTCAAGAAAGTCAATGCTTGGGGGGCAGCTAGGTGGCGCAGTGGATAGAGCACTGGCCCTGAAGTCAGGAGGACCCGAGTTCAAATCCAGCCTCAGACCAAACACTTAACATTTACTAGCTGTGTGACCCTGGGCAAGTCACTTAACCCCAATTGCCTAAAAATAAAAAATTTAAAAATTTAAAAATTAAAAAAAAAAAGTCACTGCTTTTTCCTTAGGTGAAGTTTTATATCTCTAAATGCTTACGTGAATAAAACAGAGAAAGGAGAGGTCAATGAATTGGGCATTCAACTAAAAAGGCTAGGAAAAGAACAGACTGAAAATCCCCAATTAAATACCAAATCAGAAATTCTAAAAACCAAAGGAGAGAATAAAATTGAAATTAAGAAAACTATTGAACTAATAAATAAAACTAAGAGCTGGTTTTATGAAAAAAAATCAATAAAATAGATAAACAGTTACTTTGATCAAAAAAAAAGAAGAAAACCAAATTATATCAGCATCAAAAATCAGACCTCAGAGGCCACCGAGTCCAACCCATATCCGAACAATCTCCTCAACAACACACTCAACAAGAAGGCGGTCAGCCAGCCTTTGCTTGAAGACTTCCAGAATAAAAGGAAAGCCACCGCCTCGTGAGACAACCCATTCCGCTTCTGGAAGTTCTGCTGACATCAAGCCTAAATTTGTTTTTCTGCAACTTCTATCCACTGTTCTTAGTCCTGACCTCTGGAGCAAGGAGGAAAACGAATCTAATCTCTCTTCCACCTAAAAGCCTCTAAACAGCTGAGAACAGTCATATCAACCCTAAATCTGATCTCTTAAGAATGAGACTTGTGTTCAAATCCGGCCTCAGACCAAACACTTGATACTTACTAGCTGCATGACCCTGGGCAATTCACTTAACCCCAATTGCCTAAAAATAAAAAAATTAAAAATTAAAATTAAAAAAAAAAAGAATGAGATTTGTGTCCATAACTGGGAAAAAGAGAGAAATAATTACCAGAGACAAGACTATAAATTATCAAAAGGTTGGGCATTCTGTGGCCTGGAGGGAAATGCTTCTCTCTCAGTGGGCAGATTCTCCTGAATTGCCCCTAGAAAAGAAATAACTGCTAGCACCCAGGCTACACCTTAACAAAGAACTCTTCCTGTTCACTGGCCCTACAGAAACCAAGCAGCAGGAACAGGATGACTACAGGGCTACAACTTCTGGTACTGCACACCTCATTCCTGGAGTTCCTGTCTCCTCTCATCTGTGCCTGGTCAGTGGGCCACAGTTTTGCACACACAAGTTTAGAGAGGCAAGGCAGTAGAGTATTCCTCTTGCTATTGAGCTAGATCAGTGCCCTTTCCAGCCCAACTGAAACAAACAAACAAAAACAGGCCCCCCAGCCCCTAAGTGCTCACGAGTACACATGACACTAGAAGAAGCTGAAAGGTCCACCCCAAGTTCACGCTGAGGCTGAATTGTAAACAGAATTAAAAGAAAGTACCATGGTAGAGGAACTACTTTCCTAACTAGAGCATTAGCCCAGGTTCTCAAAGTGTGATCCAGGGATCCCCAAGGATATGAGGCCAAAACTCTTTCTCATAATACTAAGACATTTAAATTTCTAATATGTTATTTTTTTAAAAAAAATTTTAATTTTATATATTTTATTAATTTATTTTGATTTATAACAATCATTTCCATATGCTTTTGAGTTTAAAATTTTTCTCCCTCCTCATCCCCACCACCCTCCCCAAGACGGTGCACAATGTGATATAGGCTATACATTTATATTCCTATTAAACATATTTTCACATTAGTGAAGTTGTAATTAAAAATTAAAACCAACAGGAGGAACCATCAGAAAGAGGAAACAAAACTCAACAGAAGAGAAAAAAAAAGATAGTGATTCAACTTTCACAGTTATGATTACTGTGTCTTTTTCTCCATCCTTTTTTCCCCCGTTTATGCTTTTCTTTCTCCTCTCTTCCTTACCCCCCTCACCAGTACTTTGCTTTTGACCACCACCTCCTTCAGTCTCTCCTCCCTTCTATTATCCCCCTCCTCCCTCTTCCCCTTTGCCCCCACAGCTTCTTCCCTCCCTTCCATCCCCACCTCCCTTTTCTTTCCCCTTTTCCCCCCTACTGCCCATAGTGCAAGTTAGATTTCTATACCTAAGTGATTATTATTATTATTATTCCCTTCTAGAGCCAAATCTGATGAGAGCAAGGTTCAAACAATGCTCACCCCCCTCCCTTCTTTCCCTCTGCTGTAATACGATTTTCTGTCTTTTCCTGTAATGCAATTTACCCTTGTCTGCCTCCTCCTTTCTCAGTACATTTTCTAAGATCAGACTAATCCACTTACTTGGACCCATTTAACCCACTTGATTAGATTTTTTTTTTATCATTACTTCAAAGTCAACTAATATCCACCCCCTTTATGAATACTCCTTTAACATGGTGTAATAACAACACAGTTCTCAAGAGTTGCAAGTGTCATCTTCCCTTGTAGGGATGTAAACAGTCTGCCCTTATTAACAACATTTTGTATCTTTCTGTCCCATTTATCTTTTTACATCTTTCTTGAATCTTGTACTTGAAGATCAAATTTTTTGTTGAGCTCTGGTCTTTTTATTGAGGAAGTTTTGGAAGTCTCCTATTTCGTTGAATATCCATCTCCTCCCTTGAAGAATCATGCTCATTTTTGCAGGGTAGTTGATCCTTGGCTGCAATCCAAGCTCCTTTGCCTTACAGAATATCATGTTCCACACCCTGCGTTCTTTTAATGTAGAAGCTGCAAGGTCCTGTGTAATCCTGACTGTGGTTCCATGATATTTAAATTGTTTCTTTCTGGCTGCTTGCAGCACCTTCTCTTTCATCCGGTAATTTTGGAATTTTGCTATTATATTCCTTGGTGTTGTCAATTTGGGATCTCTTTCAGGTGGTAAGCAGTGTATTCTTTCTCTGGTTATTTTACCTTCTGGTTCTAGGACTTCAGGGCAGTTTTCCTTTAGCATTTCCTCAAAGATACTGTCCAGGCTCTTCTTTTCATCATGATCTTCAGGTAGTCCAATGATTTTTAAACTGTCTTTCCTGGACTGATTTTCCAGGTCAGTTGTTTTACTGATGAGGTATTTTAAGTTTTCATCCACTTTTTCATTTTTTCTGTTTGACCGATTCTTGCTCTCTCATAGAGTCATTAGTTTCCATTTGTCCAATTCTAGTTTTTAACAGATTGTTTTCTTCTTTCTGTTTTAGTTTTTCTTCTGTTAGTTTCTGTACTTCCTTCTTCAATTGGCCAATTGTATTTTTAAGGGATTTGTTTTCTTCAGTGTACTTTTTTTCCAGTCTGCCAATTGTGTTTTTTAGGGACTTGTTTTCTTCAGTGTATTTTTTTTTTCAATTGGCCAATTGTATAGTTTAAGGATTCTTCTACCTCTGTCATTAGACTTTTAAAATCCTTGAGCTCTTCTAAGAAGGCTTTTTGGGCTTCAGACCAGTTCATATTCCCTTCTGATGTTGCAGATGTGGGTTTGTTGACAATGTTGTCCTCTTCAGAATTTCTGTCTTGATCTTCACCCTTTCATAATATGAATTTATGGTACGTTGCTTTTTACTCATGGTGTTTCTTTATTCCTGGCCTTTAAAGAGACTGAGCTCTCCTGCTGCGGAACAGAGGGCACTGACCCAAGCTTCCTGTGTTGGGAGCCTAGGTCTTGGTCACTGGCTTTGCGTGCTGGGACCTCTTATGTTGGCAATTGGAGGCTGTAGAGTTCTGGCAGCTTACCTCGTGTTGGGCTGGAATCAGCAAGGCTGGAACTTTCAGGAAATTCTAGGTTGCCTGCTTTTCCTTTCTTTTAGCTTTCTTCAGCTCCTTTTAGATGTATGCTGCAGGGTGTTTATCTGCCTGGGGCCCCTTGCAGTGCTCTCTCCCTTGTTTCTGCTAATGCACTGGGTGATTCTTTTGTGGTAGAGTGCTGAGGCACCTGGTGGTTTTCTGAGCTGGTTTCCACCTGTTCTTCTACCCTCACTGAGGCACTCGGAGGTCCAGGTGTTGGTGTTGCCTGCTCTACCACCTGGGCTTCAGGATCTGACAGCTTACCTGGTGTTGGGCTGGAATCAGCAAGGCTTGGACTTTAGGTAGCTAATAGGTTAAATATTGAGCAGCTCAGTGGTGCAGTAGATAGACTGCTGGGCCTGGAGTCAGGAAGGCTCATCTACCTGAGTTCAAATATGGCTGCAGACACCTACTAGCTGTGTAACCCTGAACAAGTCATTTAACCCTGTTTGCCTCAGTCTCCTCATCTGTAAAATGAGCTAGAGAAGGAAATGGCAAACTACTCCAGTATCTCTGTCAAGAAAACCCTAAATGGGGTCACAAAAGTCGGACATGACTGAAAAATGACTGAACAACAAATATTAAATATTGGTAGCTATAACCTACATAAATAAAAACTCTTTGGGAGGGAGTCCTTGATAATTTTTAAGCATATAAAAGGATCCTGAAACCCAAAAGTTTGAGAACCATTGCTCTAGCACACGCACAAAAAGCCAACACAGAATTAAGAATCAGATTTCTTTTTGTAAATCCATGAGCCTGTAACATTAGGAAAAATTCTTTCATGAGAACAGAAGAAATGAAAAAAGTTACCAAGTCTGGTGTCCATCAGCTTGTTCTGATTTGAAAGATCTGGAATTGGAGAACTTTCTTGCACTGCTTCTTCTGACTGCATTTCCATTTTAAGAGGCCCATGATCCATGGATCCTATTTCCTCTTTTTGTTCTTCTTCTTCTTCCTCCTCTTCCTCTTCTTCAGGCTCATCCTTCATTCTTATTAAACTTGGAGGGAGTGCTGGACGCTTAGGGGGCAACTTCTAGGATGGAGGAAAAAGAATAAATAGGTAAACTTACATAACTAAAAGAAAAACCAAATTTCTCTAAAAGGGTTGGCTAAAGAAGAGGGACAGGAAATCACATTACAAAGCTGATAATCTCTAAAGAAGTCTGTTGGAAGGATGGTTTCCATGTGAAACTTCAACCTTTCATGACTTTAGTGAGTCTAGAATTAATATCTGAGGGCAAAAGAATATTAATGATAAAATGCTCAGAGCAGCCTATAAGAATAGGGAAACTGGTTCCAGGAGATTAGCTAAAAGAACTCTGTGCTATTAAAAAAAACAAGAACAAGCAAAAGAGAGCCAATTAATCAGAGATTAAATGAGAAGAAAAATGATATATGAAGAAAACTACTTGCAAGGTCTTGTGATACTAAGTTGGCCTAGGACACTGGAGCCTCAGAGAAGGTATCCCCTCTGAAGCTATACATGAACTCTACAGAAGGACTTTTAACTCAAGAAGACAAGATACATAAGTTATAGAGAATCATTCAATCTGAGGTCTCTGAGTAACACTGAGAATCTGAATAACAGGTCCAGCTGAGCATAAGTGACAAAGGAAACAAGATTTGCACCTTAAGTTTTTGTTTTCTTTAAAAATCTTCTTTGAAAGAAAGCAACACATTTTAAATTACAGCATTCAATGCGGCCACATTTCAGGATGTGCTGAATGAGGAGGGCAAGATCATGTGCTTCATCATTAGTCAGGTACTGAGCCTCACCTTAGCTCTACCCCAACAGTTGGCTCTGGGGAAGAGGGCCAGTGCATTTCCCCATCTACATAAAACGTACAAGTTGGGCTAAAAAATTTGTAAATTCCCTTTAAGCTCTAAAATGCTATGACTAACTTCAGCTCTTTAAATAAATAACTACTCTTTTTTGCCAAAAAAGAAAAAGCTCTTTCCCCCCTCCACCTCAAGTAAATCACCCTATGTCATATGCTGTTCAGTCTACATGGCCACGAACCTGGCATCATTGCTACTTGGCGACAGTCTAACCTAAATAGAGGTTTGTTTCTGCTGTACTTGCCAAAGAAAATTTATAAAGTGGTAACAAACATCCATTTATCGATCAATTGTGTTACTCATCATTTGGTTTTGTACCTACCAGGAAGGAAATACCCACTGCATACAATCTCTCCTCATTCAGAGGATAAAGTATATCTCCCATCACAAATTAGCAAACTGCCATCTACTTACTTGTCAATCTGGTTAGCATCAATCAATTCACCAAGGCCTGATCTCCCCAGGACGAGCTAATAAAGAGGAGTCTCTGGCTGGCTTAAATGAGAATCAGGTGGACAGGCAGCACAGTGCAATGGGAATCCCAGAGTACAGGGTTCAAATACTAGCTCTATAGTGACTGTGTGGGCAAGTCTCTGGATCTTGGTTTTTTCATTTGAAAAATGAAGGGGTTGGACTGAAGGATTCTCTTTCAGTGCCAAATCCTATAACAGAGGTAACTTCACCAAAGGCACTGCAGCTCCATAAACAATCACTCTTAACATTATGAAAGGATTTATCTATCAACACGGTGAATGGAAAGCAGCACAGGAATGATTCGAGGACCAAAAGTTTACATTTTCTTCCATAACTTACCCCTACTGTTCCAGTTTTTAATTTAAATTTGCTTCCTCCTTTCATGGCACCAAAAAGAGGCAATGTTAGCTTTTTAGGCTTGTTTTCCAAATTTTCAGCCTGGTTTTCAGTCCTATTAAGAAAGAAACATTACTGATTGTAACCACTGCAACAAATGCCTATGTACTGCTATGACATATAACTCGAAAACCTTTATAATGCAAAAAGTGGCACTACTGGAGATTTGATTACATAGCAATAAAAATGTATTCCACTTGAAAGAATTACAATTAACATCACTCTACATCACTGGTTTTCACAGAAGCAGTCAAAGTAATTAAGAGCAGGAAGACACCTATCCTCTGGCCTGGAGATTCCTAAGAGAGGAGCAGCAATTATAATATCCCCACCCCTACTCCCAGTAGCAATTACTAATACTTTAAGGTTTGAAAAATTTCTCCTCACAATGATCCTGTGAGGTGGGTAGCATAAGCATTATTAGTGGTTTTTTTAAAGATTAAAAAATGCAGGCTCTGCAAGAGAAGTCACACAGCTGGGAAGAGTCAGAACCAGGTCCAGTCCTCTTTCCACAACACTTTTTAGCCTTTCTCTCAACCTTGCTTTCACCAAACTATGACCCTATGACATAAGTCGGACAAGTAAGAGGGGGAAATATGCAGGAATTACCCATGCAGAGGCAGGAGCTGTAACCTTATGCTAACAATCCTTTTATTCCCATTGACTTCTGAAGGGATCAAAGTGATGGCAATGATCTGAGCAACACTCCTTATTCTACATAAACTACAGTCCCATTCACCCTGAAGCCAACTAGACTCAGCTGCCTCAAACAGAATCATGATTGGGGAGAATGGGAGAGAGACCTAAGTAGGAAGCAAGAACAGAATCAGATCCAAACTCCAAGACTATACTAAACAGGACCAGAAATCTGCTAATCAGGAGGAAAGGAACATTTACCTTGGCTAGCAAAACCTAAACCCTGGAAGGAAAAGGAGAAAGATACACACAACAGAAAAATAAGGTAAATATAAGAAGAGACAGGAAAGAAAAAGGAGAGAAAACAAGAGGTAAGGAGAAACAAAGAGCAAAAGCAGCCAGCAGAGCAACACAGGCCCTGAGCACATCACAGGCTCACAGACACAGGTCTGGAAGTGATCTTAGCAGCCATTACGACCGACTCCCCCCCACCTTTTACAGGTGAGGAAAATGAGGCCTGAAGCTATCCTGAAGTTGTTATCTGTAGCAGCTGAGAAGACAGCTATCCCAGAGACAGAAAACTGTAACAGCTCTACAGTGTAAGGGAAAATGAAAGTAATCCAAGAGTAACAAAAAGCTAACAACTTACATTAATATGGCACTTTAAGAGCTTTCCTCATGAGAGCCCAGTAAAGAGTGTTGTACAAGTAGAATACCTGTCTGAGTGGTTTTGTATTTGGCAGCAAAGGACAACCCCACACGGCAGTGATTACTCAAAAAATCCTGTCTAAGGATATTACTAAGAAACCAATTTTTAACTGCCAATGTGAAGAAATGTGCTATTACTTTGTTGTAAATCTGAAATTCCCTTCTAAAACATAAACGTAATGCCATGGTTTAATAGCCCTGACATGTCAAAAGCTCAGCACTGAGGAGAGGAATGGAAACACACTCAGCTCCCCCTGCTATTGATAGGCTGAATTAGTAAAAAAAAAAAAAAAGAATTTAGCTCTTACTAATTGCTGCTTTCCAGCTTGTCATAACAATGTCTGGAAGACCCTTCAGAGATCCTAGACCGAGACATAACTACCTATCATTGTTTTCAACTTGAGATTATGTGACTTCCTCTTCCAGTCTACTCTAGCTACCTCACTCTCATCTACCCCACAGATCCAATGAGGTGCCAAATTGACTCAGCCACCACCCTACTTCAGGCACCTCAACCTGGTCTGGCCGGCCCTGCTGCCCAGGCGTCTTCGCTGGTCTCTCTTCCTTGCCTCAAGTCTTCCCATTCCAATTCATCTTTCACATAGTCACCTAAGTGCTTTTCCTAAGGTACAAATCTGACCATGTCACTCCCTGATTCAAACTCAAACAGTTGATCCCTGTTACTGCTCGAATCAAATATAAACTTCTCCGTTTGGAATTTAAAGGTCTTGATAATCATGGCCCCAGCCCACCTTCCTAGACTGATAACATTACTCCCCTCCATGGATTCTAGCCCAGCTAACTGGGCTTCTTGCTTTTCTTCAAATTCCCCCTCCCATATCCATGCTTTTGCACTGGTTCACTCTGAGCCCAGAATCCATTCCCTTCCCCTCTATCTCTTTAAAAAAATCTCTTGCCTTCCAGCAAAACTTAACTCGAGTGCTAGCTTCTGCGTGAGGTCTTTCCTGGCCCCACTAGCTGCAAGCAATTTCCTTTCACCCCCTAGTTATCTTCTCTGTGTTTGTACACACTTAGATAAGTACATGCAGCCTCCTTCACTAGAAGGCAATCTCCTCAAGGGCAGGGACTGTTTGGATTTTATCTTTGTATCCCAGTCTCTAACACACTGCCTGGCACACAGTAGATGCTTAAGGATTAGTAATTCACATTTAAATAGTACTTTAAAGTTTATGAAGTGCAGAGAAGAAAAAGATGGATTTTTGTTGATTAAAAAATAAAATCTCATTTTAAGATAGATAAAAGATTTACAAAGTGCTTTCTCTATAATAATCCTGTGCCATTTTACAGATGAGAAGGGAAATACCTTGCCATGTTCACAAAGCTAAAACATGTCAGAGATAACATTTGAAGTAATTCTCCAGAACACAAATCTCACACTCTTTCCACTATATCATATATAGCCTCTAATCTCAGAATAGAAATAGTTCAGTTCCAAATGTATCACATATCAACTTTTGCCTATTTCAAATTCTATTTCAAGCTCTGAACACTATTACTAACACTCACTTTTTAAGCTCTGGCATCTCTGTTGGTTTCACGAGTTTGATCAGCCCTTTAAGTCTCTGCTGTTCTTTCCTCAGCTCAAAGGTTCTTAAATGAAGCTTTTTTCGGGATACGCCATCTAATGTGCTGCCTGATTTGATTTCTGTCATGAATGCATCCAAAGAATCCTGAGGTGTAGACTCTGACAGGGCTGGCAAAAAAAGAGATAATATTTTAGAAAATATGTACCCAAAAGTAGTGACACAGGTCTTAATAGTAAGATATTAAGGTCATAATAGTAATATAATAAGATACTAAGGTCACAGAGCTGGATCTCAAGCAATCATTATGGCCATAACTAATGTAAATTCTACTATGACTGGCACCAAGGTGCAGCACTGCCAAATACCAATGCAATGTACTTAATAAAGAAGTTTTGGAAGATAACAATGAGAATAAGGAAAGCCAGGCTAGCCAGGCTCCTAACACTCCCCTCAAAAAATGATAAAAGATACATTAGAGAAGAAAAATGGTCAAAAATCCAAAGTATAATTTAAATGTAGTTTCCAAATAAACAAAGGAAGAAGAACGCAGATATAATTTTTAAAATATTGTTTCAAAGTGACTAAAACACTTAATGAAACAGAAGTAATGAAGATGGGAAAAGAAACAACAGAGTTATTGGAATTATACAGGCCAACATCATTAATCTGGTTTCAGTGATCTGTCCTGGTCAGGATATATATATAAGGGATGGGCTTGAACCTAGGTCTTTCTAACTCTGGGGCTAGCCCTCTACCCACTACACCATATTGCCTCTTACATTTGATGTACATTGAAACAACAACAAAAATAAATAAAATAATGGGAAGTAGAACATAACAGGACAAAGAGGATTCATTTATGTTAAAAACACTGAAAAATTGAGGATCATAGATCTAAAGCTGGAAGGGACCTCAGTCCAATCCCCTCATTTCACAGAGGAAGAAATTGAAACAGAAAGATCTTTCCTAAATATGATGAAAAAATACTGAAATCACCAACTGATATCTAGAAAAAAATGAAATGAGGTATTCCCACTAAAAATAAATGGAAAGCAGGACTGTCCCCTGTCATAAAATCCTGTGACAGTCTTAGACATGGTGGCTTAGCAATAAAGGCTGAAAAGGGGGAAGGAAGAGAATAAGCATTATTAAGTACCTATTATGTGCCAGGCATCTGCTTAGCACTTTACAATTATTATCTTACCTGATCTTCACAAGCCTGCAAAGTAGGTGCTATTATTACCCCCATTATAGAGTTGAGAAAACAGAGGTTAAGTGACTTGCCCAGAGTCACACATAAGTATCTGAGGCTGGATATAAACTGAGGTCTTCCTGACTCCATGCCCATCACTAAAAAGCATTGTCAATGGAGAAATTAAAATATCTATTTATAGATGACATGACTATCTAGAAAATGCAAGAAACTAAATGAAAATCTTGAGGTAATAAATGGCAATAGCAAAAGAAATCAGGTATGAAATAACTCCATGAAGCATAACTGCATTTCTCTATACTACCAACAAAAAAATTAATGTGAAAAAAATACCTTTTATAGCAACAAAATGTGCAAAATATTTTGGGATTAACATACCAAGAAATATAAGAGAATTATATAAAAGTAACTTAAAAATTATTTGGACAGGAATTCAAGAATTGACTAAATTGGAAGGATATATTTCCTGCTCATGGATAGACAGAAGAAATATATTAAGAATGTAAATATTTCTGAAATTAATTTATAGATTTAATGTAACATGAAAAGGACAATTCTTAAATTAGGTAAGACCATTAAAAAAATACATCCAAAACAGAGATAGGCAAAAATATCAAGAGAAATTATGAACATTAGAAATGGAACAGGACCTTACCAGATTTCAGTGTATTAAAAACTTCCTAGTAATAATGGAATAAAAAAAGGTAGAGAAACAGATCACTAGAACTACCCAAAAATTAAATCTTATAAACATAAGAAACCAGTATTAAATAAAAACTCATGATTTAAAAACACAAGGAAATGGAATCATTATTCAATTAAAACTCAGGAAAATTGGACAGCTATATAGCAAAGATAAATTAAGATCCATGACTCACTAAATAATGATATATTCTTAACTAGATAAATGATAGAAGTATTCAAATTTTTTATTTTAATAATTTTATATAACCAAAACTGGAAGAAAAAGTAATGATATATTTAATTCAATTTTCAAGAGTAAAAAATGTTTATTTAGCAATCCAATAAAATGAGAACCAAATGGTGAAAACCAGCTTCTGAGTCAGAAAGCCTGGGGGTCCAATCCTGCCTCTGACATGTCCAGGCTGTGTGATCCTGAGCATGACACTTAAACTCTGAGGGTTCCAGGCAATTCTCAAAGAATGTAAGGTGCAGAGCAGGTGTTGACCCGTATTGGTAGAAGTTTCCTCATGGGAAAATTACAGGTCCAGTCCAAAACAAAATTATTAGAGATAAAATTCAGGAGATTGATTAAACAAAGATAAAAACAAGACAAAAAGCAAGATCTCTAGAATAAAAAGAACAGACTGGGAAAAACAGTTGCAGCAAATATATCAGATATAGTATGACACCCAGAACTGATAGGGAACTAAGACAGCCCAGTACAGCAGAAAGAACAAAGAATCTTTAGAGAACCCTGGTTTGATTCTCATTCTGTCACTTTTGTCTGCGCTGTGTGACCTTGAGCTAATCATACAGTTTCTTCATCCATAAAGTGAGGAGTATGGACTAGGACAGGAGATCACTAAGGTACTTTCCATCCTAATTCAATAATTCTATGATATACCTCTAGCCCAATGATTATGCACTCCAGTGGAGAAGTGGTCAAAAGACTTGAACCCAACTTTTAAAGGAAGAAATGTGAACTTACACAGTAAATAACCACATGAAAAGCTACTCAAATTCTCAAAAAGTACAAATCAAGGCAATGCTTATATCATTTATCTAGTTAAGAGTATATCATACAACATAGTACAAGTTATAGATCTTAATTTATTTCTGCCATATAAGCTGTCCAATTTTTCCAAGAGTTTTAACTGAATAAATGACTCCATTTCCTTGTTTTTTAATTATGAGTTTATTAAATACTAGTTTCTTATGTGCATCAGGTTTAATTTTTTGATAGTTGTATTGATATGTTTCTCTGCCTTTTTTATTTCATTATTACTAGAAAATTTTTATAACTGCTTTATAATATATTTTGAAATGTTATTGAGCACCTTGACATACCACCTGCCTATTAAATTGGCAAAAATTTCCCCTTCATCATTCCCTGTTCCCCTTCCTCCACAAGCCCATGACTTTAAGCCCCCAAAAAAATAAGAAGGTTCAATGTTAGAGCTACAGAGAAACAGACAATCTATTACATTGTTGGTAGGAACACAGACTGGTACAAACGTTCAAGAGCAACATAGTCAAATGCAATAAAAATTATAAAATTGATCATACCATTTCACCTGGCAGTCTCACAGATAAAAATATATTTTAAAGATATTGTTAAAAGGGGTAAAGAATCTAGCTATACAAAAATATTCATAGATATTTTATTTGCATTAACAAATGGAAATGACCTGTGAGTTTTTTGGGTAATGGATACATTATGATACATAATGATACCACTAAAATCCATCTAATACGATTAATACAAGAAATTATGAAAAGATCTAGAAGACGTGATACAAAGTGAGCTCCACAAAATACTTACTATGCAAAAATTTTATGGAGGAGGAAACTAAGAAGGTGATTTTCCCAAGGTCACACAAGTGGTTTTTTTAACTGAAACTGAAATCCAAGTCATTTGACTCCAGATACAGCATGCTCTTTCTATTATACCATACTGTCTGCTGCTCAAGAGTACAGATACTCCTTTCAGTTTATAAAAACACACAATAGGCACTCAATAAATGCTTGCTGAATGACCACATAAATGAGTCAGATTCATTGATTTCTGTGTCTGTATCTATGCTTCCACATTAACCTAGCAAGAAGAAAACCTTTGAAAAAATCAGTGTTCTACTGTCACTTCACTAGAAGAAAGATAAAGCAGTCCTATTTCTGGTTTGCTCCCAAAGTTTCATAAACAACTACTATATATCTGTCATTGAAAGGCCAACCTGCCTAAGTTTTGAGAATCACCAGAAAGTTGACCACCGCATTTGAAGAATGCCTATTAAGTTGTGCCAGAGAGTGGAGGAAGTATGCAGATTAACAAGCTTACAGGTCACTAGAAATAATGAATGAGTCTTACCTTTGCCTGAGACTTTCAACTTCTCTGAAATCTCAGCAAGTTCTTTCTCTGCATTATTTAGCTTCCCAATCTAAAAAAGTAAAATGAAATAAAAGTTTAGCAAACCAATAACCAATCAACAATTGTGCATACCCTTTGATCCAGCTATACTACTGCTAGGTCTATACCCCTAAAGAGATCAAAGACTGGGGGAAAGGACCTGGCTGTACAAAAATAGTTATACCAGCTCTTCTGATGATGGCAACGAACTGGAAACTAAGGAAGTCCCCATCAACTGGGAAATGGCTGAACAAGTTATGTTATGTGAATGTAATGGAACAAAAAATGAAAAAAAGGATAGTTTCAGAGCAAACTAGAAGGACTTCTACGAACTCACGCAGAGTGAAGTGAGGAGGAGGACTGGGAGAACAATTTATACAATGACATTTTAAAGAAAAACAACTCTGAAAGACTTGAAAGGGGCAGCTAGGTGGGGCAGTGGATAGAGCACCGGCCCTGAAGTCAGGAGGACCTGAGTTCAAATCCGGCCTCAAACCAAACACTTGACACTTACTAGCTGTGTGACCCTGGGCACTTAATCCCAACTGCCTAAAAAAAAGAAAAAGCAAGGGAGGGACTCTTGAGGCAGAGGTAAAGAGGGAGTGCATTCCTGCAAAGGCACAGAAAGCACAAGATTAAGTGTCATGAGTGAAGAAAAGAGAAAAGGCCAAATTGGCTAGATCTCAGAGAACAGGAGAGGGAGTAATACCCAACAAGGCTAGAAAGGTAGGTTGGGGCCAGGCTTATATAGCTTTAAAAGCTAAATAAGAATTTTTATTTTATTCTAGAGATAATAGGAAGCCACTGGAGTTGGGTAAGTAAGGAAGTAGCACAGATCTTCACTTAAAGAAAATTACATTGGCAGCAATGCATGGCATGGCTGGAGTGGGTAAGAGACTTGAGTCAGAGAGGTCAATTATTAGGCTGCTAAAATAATTTAGTGACAGATGATGAGAGCCTGAAAAAAGGTGGCAGCTGTGTGAGTAGAGAGAAAGGGTTAGATGCAAGTGAAGATTTGGCAACTGGTTAGTTATATGGGGTGAGACAGAGTGAAGAAAAGGCTAAGATTATGTACCTGAGATACCAGAAGGATGGTGTTTTAGACAGAAATAGGTAATTTGGGAAGAGGACTGGATTTAAGGGGAAAAGATAATGAGTTCAGGTTTAGGCATATTGAGTTTTAAGATGTCTCTGGAACATCCAGTCTGAAATATCCAATAGGCATTTGGTGATTCAGAATTGAAGTGGAGGGGGAGGGGGAATATATGTAGATCTGAAAGTCATCTTCATCTAGTTAAAACTCAAGGAAACTGATAAGGATACCAAGACAGAAAGATAAAGGGAAAAGAAAAGAGTGTCCAGGAGAGAACTGTGGAAACACTCATAGTTAGGGGAAGTGATCAGCAAAGACTGAAGAGGTCAGACAGACAGCAGGCAAACCAGTAGAGAGTAGTGTCACAAAAACCCAGAGAGAAGAATATCTACTAAACAGTCACCAACAGTGTCAAATCCAACAGTTAGATCAAGAAGCATTACATCTGAAAAAAGATCAGATTTGGAAACCAAGAGATCATTGGTACCTTTGAAGAGAAATGTTTCAGTTGAGGTGAAAAGCCCAATGGCAAAGAGTTAAGGAGTGAGTTAGTTCCTCTAATATGCAAAGGCATGAAGTTTACACAACTTTTAAAAAATTTCAAGGAATTTGGCTGAGAAAGGCAGGAAAGATATAGGACAAAAATGTAAGGCAATAATAGTAGGGCTCAATAAAAGTTTTTTTCCTTTTTGGTTTTGGTTTTTAAGGCTAGAAAATATGTTTGAAGAGAGTAGGGAGATAATCAGTTAACAGGGAGAAGCTGAAGATTCCAAAGACAGCGAGGATGCTTGAGGATTAAATTTACTGGAAAAGACCAAAGGGGATGGAATCAAGTGCTTATACCATCGGTACAGAGAAGGGTTAGCCCTCTGTTAGAGACTGAAAGAAAGGAAAAGAGAGTGGGAGATGCTGAAGATGTCAGAATTGAGTAGAATTGAAAGCACAAGGCAGATTTCAAATTTTATTTCACTTGGTCCAAAAGCATTGGTTAGTGGCATTTTTTTTTCACTGTAGGTCAATGAACAGAAATTAGATATTGTCTAAATTCTGCATACTGCCTGAGAGACTGCTGGCTATCAACATATGTAGCATAACACTACACAAGCAAAAAAAATGGTATGTTTTGGAACCTAATGCTAATACACCCTCAAAATGCCTTTCATTTTCCTTTGTTAGCACATGCTAAGGGCTATTTTATTTTCTCTTAATCCTTTGAAAATTAAAGCTCTACTTACTTTTCTATTTCAAAGCATTAAAGTGTTATAATAAATTTAAATAAAATAATGCTGTAATATAGATGTTTCCACATTTACCAGTGAATCATAGGTCTCTGGTTTATCATCAATCTTTCCAGCTTTTTTCATCCTGTTAAGTCGCTTCTTCTCAACCAAGCCAGTTCGATCAAGGAATGTATCATCATCACTGTCATAATAATCTTCTTCCTCCCAGTTCTTAGCTTTCCTTTTTCGAGATACTAAAGTATGCATAATGGATAAAGAGTAAAAAGTTAGAAAATTTTTTTTAAAAAAGGTTTGTTTTCTTTACTGTCTTTTCTTTCAGTATCAGTTATTTCTGAAAACACTCTCCTTCCTCACTAGATTAAACTTTCCCCCATAACAATGAAAATAGCTGAATAAAAATACATCAGACAATGTCAGTACCATTCTGCCCTATTAGCTCTTCTCTTCTCTGCTGAGAAGAGAGATATTTCATTATCTATTCTTCAGGATCATCACTGATTTTATTACTCATACTACAGCTTTCTTTAGTGATATTTTTATCTGAATTGTTGTAGTCATTGTGTATATTGTTCTTTGGGTTCTGTTTAATTCACTCTGTGTCAATTCATAGGATTCTTCCCATGTTCCCATTAATTCTTCATGCTTTTTTCTTCTTGCATCATAATATTCCATTATATGCATACACTGCAGCTTTTTCAGAAGGAAGGAGGAAGTTAAGGGGAAGCTAACTGGGATAATAAAGATTAGTATATATTCATCCTTCACTGTTCTCATAAGAAAGAGGCTCTAGGAGGTTGCCAGTTGCCTTGTCTAGCTACTAACCTGCCTCCTGACGCAGCAAACCCAAAGCATCAAGCATCCGACAAGCTTCCAGGGAGCACTGCATCATTGCTTCCTTTTTCTTCCCTGAGTGAAGGGCCTCAGCCACCAGTTGTTTTCCTGATGAATCATCCACAGGCAACCTGCATTAGTTGAAAATATCAATGAGGAAAAGGAGCTAATATGTGATAGCATTTGCCACACATATCTGAAAGGCTTGATTCAATTCAACACATTTATTAAATGCCTATTATGTACCATGCACTGTGCTACGAAGACAAAAATCGGGGAAGCTAGGTGGTGTGGTGGATAGAACATCAGCTCTGGATTCAGGAAGACCTGAGTTCACATCCAGCCTCAGACACTTGACACTTACTAGCTCTGTGACCCTAGGGAAGTCACTTAAACCCCACTGCCTAACGGGGGAAAAAAAAGGGGTGGAAGACAAAATAAAATAGCTCCTGTTCTCAAGCAACTACCATTCATTAGCTCCTTAAGGGCAGGGACTTACTTTTGCCACTTTTTCTCAGGACAGTGCCTGGCATATAGTTGGCACTTAATAAATGTCTATTGATTGATTGATTCTAGGAAGGGGATAGATACAACATGTACACAAATAAGTAAAGACAAAAAATAGAATACTGGGAAGATGGAAGAATGAAAGGTGTCCTAGATTACAGCTCTTTCCCCCACTACCAAAAAAAGGCAGAGCCAATAATGCAGCAAAACTAGCAATGAGAGGAAGAGGAAAAGAGGAAAGACCCTGGAAAAAGTTAATTTTTATGGAAAAAATAACTTAAGACTAACTCACCAGCCACTCTATCTCACCCACTTTTCCCCTGTGCTAGCCTGGGGCCCATGTCCTGTATCACTGCAATTTCAGGCACTATCTTCTGGAGTTAACTCCTTGTTAGTGGTCCAGAAAGAAGTTGATCCCAGAGTGGGCTGAAGCTCATGAATCAGACCACTCCCAAGAACTTCAAAGAAGATGGACAAAATATAGAGGGAAGGACCCAGAGATATAGCACCTGTTACAACCATTTAGTACAGTCCAGGAGAAAAAAGGTACCCAACAGAGAGATCTAGAGAAGAGAATGAGGGCCACAGACTGCTTTGGACCATGATGCCCTGAGAAAAAAAGATCAAGGACTGGGGGAAAGGAACAAAAGAATAAAGAACACCTTTACTACAAAGTTACCACTTAAGAAAACCAGCAGTGGTTGATAAAAACAGATTAAAAAGCTTACCAATGATAAGAAATAAACAAATATTCAGAGAATCATCCAACCAATAAGCATTTATTAAGCATCTGCATCTGCTAGGGATGCAAAAAAAGAAGTGAAAAACAACCCAGATCCTGCCCTCCAGGAGCTCACAATGTAATGAAGGAGACAAACATATATACACACACACACACACACACACACACACACACACACACACACACACACACACACACGATAAATAGGAAATAATTAAGAGGGAAGGCAGTAGAATTAGGAGAGATTGCGGAAGGCTTCCAGTAAAAGATGGGATTTTAGTTGGGACTTAAAGGAAGCCAAGGAGTTCAGTAGGCAGAATGGAGGAAGAATATCATTCCAGGTATATGGGACAGCCAAAGAAAATGCCCAGAGCTAAGACTTGGCATTTCTTGTGAATGGCCAAGAAGCTACTGTTACTGAAACAAAGAATATAGATCTGGGAATAAGGTGTAAGAAGACTGGAAAGGTAGGAGTGGGCTAGTTTATGAAAAGAGCATTTTGTACAAAAAAGTCATTTCCATAAATGAGTACTTTACAACAAAGCAAAGATCATACAAATAATTCCGTAAGGCCCTCTAAAACAACAATAAAGCAACTCTAAGAACCTTTAGACTGGTTTAAAAGAGCAATCAACGAATTAAGTGAAAATATAAAAGAAATAATGACAGAAATTAGAATTCATAATGAAGAAATCAGCAAGTCCAAAGAGAGACTAGCAGATTTAAGAGAATTAGGAATGATGTAGTCAGACACTCTATAAAATACGATCCCTGTAAAAGAGAACAACAGAATTGTAGAGGCAAAAGAAAAGTTAACTGAACAAAATCAAAATATGTACAAAAATTGTAAAAAAGGATTTCAAGAAGCAAAACATGCTAACAAGGGGAAGATCATGAAAGGATCCCTATATCAAGTAGCTGCTGAGTTCTTCAAACAAAGTTAGGAATTTGATGAATGGGAGATGAGGTGAGCAGAGAACACAGTCCAAACACAGGGACCATCAGTGTAACAGCACAGAAGTGAGAGCAAAGGTCAAATAAGGGAAACAGCTAGCCTAACAGTTTGATAGGAAAGGAGAATTTGTAAAGGGAAATAGTATAAAGAAAAGATAAAAAGGTAAGTAGGAAACAGGTTGATAACTTTGAATTTTATCCTAGAGGTAACAGGAAGTCACTAAAGATATTTGAGTAGGGGAGTTACACGGTCAGATCTATAGTTTAAGAACATCAATTTAGGGGCAGCTGGGTGGCACAGTGGATAGAGCACCGGCCCTGAAGTCAGGAGGACCTGAGCTCAAATCCGGCCTCAGACCAAACACTTGACACTTACTAGCTGTGTGACCCTGGGCAAGTCACTTAACCCCAACTGCCTAAAAATAAATAAAATAAGTTAACCTACAAAAAAAAAAAAAGAACATTAATTTGGTGGCTATGTGGAAGATCAATCAAAAAAGGGGGCAACTAGTTCTTAAACTGCTTTGTCCTACTCTCTACTATGCTTCAAATTCTCAAAAAAGAAAAGTAACACCATTTCCCCACATACACAGAGGTAAAAACAATAAAGACCAAAACCCAAACTCAAAACTAACTTCTTTTATAAATCTAGTAATCTTAACTCTTATTTAGAACTATAAATGAAGCTTAAAATTAATTAATCTGTAAAGGGAGAATGGGAAAAACACATACCTAACTCTGCAAAGCCAAGTGCTGTGTCCCTGTTCATCATATTCATATTCTAATTCTTCCCCTATAGAGGTAAAAAAGAGATTTGTAATAACAATTGAAAGTAACTTCCTAAATTAAATTCAGTTATTAGCTGAACTTGATATACCAGGGAAAGAAAATCAGAGTTAAACAATCCTAAGTAAAATATATTTTTTTAACCATATGAAATTACCATGTATGATAGGAATTACAGAATACTATGACTTAGGAACAGAAAAGTTATAAGAACTTGATTCAATTTTCCCAACACCAAAGTTTTCTGCTAAGGATCTGAGCTAAGTCAAGTGAAATATGTCCTTTGTTTCAGGTCAAGAAGAATGTCAAGGCTCTTACTCCTCCACTAAATTCTTACTGTTTTGCCTCATAATGTTGTGGAGCAGACTGAGTTTTCAAAAGCTATGACAAAGGAATGGGAGTTCCAGCAGGTGGTTTAGAGCATAGGCTTGGAAACAGCTACATGGCTATCATCCAATAACGAGGTTAGCTAAGCTCTGAAAAGTCTCATGCTAGCAGCACCACAAAATGAAACTGGTTTTGGCCATAGCAATTAGTGAAGATGGTCTACTAAGGCATGAGAAGTTGAATGGACGGGCCATTGATGTAAATCTTTTGGAATAGTCAAAAATGTATTCACCATACCATCCTTTTTGACTACAAGACTTTTGAGGGCAGGGTTCTCATCTTATCTAAACTTTGTACTTCCCAGTACTTAGCAAAATGCTAGGCAAACAGTAGGTACTTAAATTTAGTTTGCTGAAATTAATTATTGGCAAACCCAGAAGGAGCATACTTTAATTGAAGAAACAGGTAAAGGCTGAACTATCAAGCAGAATCTGAGCAGTTACACAGCATACACAGGCAAAGTAGATTTAATGGCATTTTAAAGTATGGCATTAAACTGGAATTTATGGTATAGGACACATATAACTTCCATCATCAAAGGCTAATCACAGACCTTCTCTTTCAAAAAACCCCTGCAGGGCCTTTTTGGGATCCTTTATATAAAATGCCTCACGTTCCTGCTGAAACTCTATGACAATAGGGTTCTCTTCAACTTCATCTTCAATGGCATCTTCTCCTGCAGGAAGGGGGTTGGGGTAGAGGAAATCAAAGAGAACATCACACATATTATTTAAGCAGGAAGGAAAAAAAAGGAAAATCTCACCAAAATAGTATTATTCACTACCTTATTTCAATAAAGAAGAGTCAGGCTATACAAAACTGAGATAATACATGATACTTCTCACCTCAAATCCCAAATGTGTTCTATTTATCAGTATCTTAACAAAACCAGGAAGAAAATGGGACAAGGGATAGGCCAGAGAAGTGTAGTCTTAGGTACAGTAGCTAAATGCTGTGAAGAAGCTCACACTCATGCGAAAAACAAAAAAAATTTAAAAACTACCCACTCACCAATTTGCTTTCAGGAAAAAGTCTAAATTCTTTAATTTAGCAATCTCAAGCCTATCTCTACAACTTCCCTAAAAGATGAGTTTACTGGAGTAGACTCCAGAACAAACTATCAAAGCTCCCCTGCTTGGAATGCCCTCACATTCTCTCGTTTTAAGTTCTACTTTGACTTTCAAGCCCAGCTCCTTTGGCACATTCCCCAAATGTTCAAGCCCTCAAGTCCTGCAGCACATTGTCTATATTATTAATTTGGCATTTATAGGACAGTTTATATTGCTATTTATCATTTCATGCATATACATACTTTATATCCCTAGTGCCTAGCAAAGTGTCATGACACAGTAGGTTTTGGGTAGTTCCTTGTTGATGCTATACAGAGATGAAGAAGATTAAACAACTTCTCTAGGCCTCAGGTTCCTCATCTGTAAGATGAGGGGTTTGGCCTAAATGATCTTCAAGGTCTCTTCCAGCTCTAGGATTCCTTGAGATATGCTGTCTTCCTCTCCAAAATCTGAATGTACACACCTCTATATAAACATGCAAATGCAAAGGAAAATTTTAGTATTTTAATTGGGTCCCTTTATGCACCTATTCAATCATGACAAGCAGAAAAAAAAAATTTGGTAGAGGATCCCTAAAGTCATAGAATCTAAGCTGAAAGAGAGCCCTCTCACACTGCAGAGGAGGATACTGAGGATCAGAGAAGTGGCAAAGCCAAGCTTTGAACCCAAGTCTTCTAACTTCCAACTTTAGTGCTCTTTCCACTACAACATAATGCTTCTCTATGTCCTTAAATTGACAAGGACTAGGACCAAGGTGGAGAACACATTGGACTTTTTACATAATGTACTATTTACTTCATAGTCATAAAATCTTTCATTGCACAATTTCCCCACACTTTACTGAATCACAAATAAGGGCATTCTCCTAAGAAAAGAAGGTGATCATTTGGACCAGAATTAAATAACTGCATTAAATGCCTTGCCTATATACTAGGGAAGAGTTTTTAAGATAACTTAGTCCAATCCTCTCATTTTACAAATGAGGAAACTGAGGCCCAGAGAGATTAAGTGACTTGCTAGGGGAATGGGTTCAATCAGTAATATCCTGTTGGCACTAATGATAGTAAGTGAATTCTCAAGAAAAGTTTTATTCATACCAGGGTTATAACCGAGTCAAAACTCTTACAGTCCTGGAACTGTTGACAGCTCTGTGACCTCAGGCAAATAATTTCAACCCTGGAGCTCAGTTTTCTTGTTTTAAAAGTGGGAGTAACAATAGCCACTCCTCTATACTTCACAGAGCTATTATGAGGACCAAATGGATATTATGTCCCTTTCAAACACAAGATTAGTATAAGATACAATTAATAATGCTAAAAAAAATTCTGCCTTCCTTTCTTAGTAGCTTTCAGTTCTTACCCATTCCCCAAGTACACCCCATCTCAACATCCTGACTACTAGTATTTCTCTTCTCTTCTGCGGCATCTGTCTCCTCTTCCTCATCCGAGTCTTCACCCAACATCTTCTTCTCTAATTTCACCTGCTGCTGCTTTCGCAAAGCCTTCAACTGAGTTACCGTTAGTTCGGATTCTGCCTCCTTATCATCTTCTGGTCCCTGTTGAGTCAAGTAAAACAATCCCTTTAGGAGGTGGGAGCAGAAGCCATAAGGAAGTCTATCAAGGAGTCAGAAGGCATAACCCTCAACTGTGGGAAAGGCTGACAAACATAAACTAATCACAACTCTGGGAGCCAGGGGCGGGGCTTCGGGGGACTTCCATTCCTTGGGGCTTCTTTACCTGCAGGATAAAGAGCCGGGTGCTGGCTCCGAAGCGAAGGACGTGGCCCACGTGGACGCGGCAGTAGGTGCGGGGCGGGACGCGCGTTTTGTTCAGGAAGGTGCCGTGGGTGCTGCCCAGGTCGTACAGGTAGAAGCCGGGTCCGCGGGGGTCTTCGTCCCCCACGGGACCCCGCGCCCGGTGCTGCAGCACGGCGTGGAAGCGGGACACCGAGGGGTGCTCCAGCACCACGTCGCAGCCGGGCAGGCGCCCGAACACGCAGTGGCTCCGGCCCTCCAGGCTGCGGCTGCCCAGGATGGTGCCGCCCTTCAGCGTCTCCAGGCTGTAGGGAGCGTCGGGGGGCCCCCCCCACGGTGGCTCCTGGTACGGAGGAGCCGGAACCGAGCTCCCAGCTGGAGGGGCGCCCGCCGCTGCTCTAGACGGCCGCGGCTTCTCCTCGGTGGGTGGCACGGGGCCGGGCTCCTCCCGGACTCCCTGCTCGCCAGGACCGCCGGCCAGCGGCGGCTCCTTCTCCTTCTCCACCCGCTCCTCCCGCTCCTCCCGCTCCCGGGGAGCGGGGCCCTGCGTATGCTCCCGCGGCACCGAGGGCAATGGCAGGACCGGTTTTTTGAAGCCGCTGTCTGGCGGGTCGGAGCTGGACTCCAGCTCTGCCTCTGAGAAGAGCTCCGCCATCTTCGAAGAGTCCGATGTCTAAAAGCGTCCGCCGGAAACCGGACTCGGAGAGCTCCAAGTTCCCCCCTGCAGCTTCCAGCCCTCCCTGGGGAGGGGAGGCGCCGGAGCTTGCCGACCTCAGTATTCTCCCCCGACCCCTGCAGTCCGATACTGGACCGAATTAAAACTCTAACACTATCAAATAAAGGAGGCGTCTTGGAAAGGGAGGACGTCTTTACAGGAGCACTGCTTAGTGACGACTTCCGGGGGCCGTCTCCGACCCGAAGAGAGCAACTTCCGTCTCCTTCCAAGTTCGGTGGGCTTTGCTGTCTCGAGGCTTCCACGCGCCGCTCGCCGTCCGCGCTTCGCCCCCGCAGGCGTCTCCAGGGGCTTCAGGGCCCTGCTGAGGACGGGCTCAGACGTCGCCCCCTCCCAGCCATCCCTCCGGTAAATACCCCTCCCACACCGCTCACCCAGCCCCTTCAGCCCAGAGGCGGGTCTTTTAGCGCCTAAGATCTTTAGACCTTTGATTTTAGAGCTTGGAGGGATCTCCGAGGGCATCTCAGGTCAACCTCTGGTTTTGCAAAGGAGGAAACTGAGGCCCAGAGAGGTTAAGGGGTCATAAGAAGTGAGTGACAGTCAGGTTTTAAACCTAGGATCTCCGACTCCAGCACCCTTTCCGCCGAATTGCGCTGTCTCACATTAATCCAGCCTCCTGAGTTTTACGGATGAGGAGACTGCGGCCTGGGAAGGCAAGTGACTTGCTTAGGATCACATAGATAATAACGCCCCAGCTGGTAGTGAACCCTGGTTTTTGTCTTCAGCTTTCTAATGTCCAGTTGTTTTTACCGCACCATGCTTTGTCCCTGCTGCCTTTGGCCAAGGACCCTTCAAGCTGATTCCTAAGCCAGGGTGCGCCTTCCCCTCACAAAGGCACAGAGTTGTAAGGGACCTCAGAGGCCATCCGGTTCAACCTCTACATGAACAGGAATTCCCTCAACTGCATTCCTTACAAATCATTATCTGGTCTTTACTCAAAGATCCCCTGAAGGGGAGCCCAAAGCTTCCTAAGGAGAAGGTCCATTCAGCTTTGGGATACCTCTAGTTACTAAGAAGCTTTTCTTTATTTTAAGACGAAATTTTCCTCTTTGGAAAAGAAAAAGACAAATGCTCTTCTGCGTGATAGCACTTCAAAGACAGCAGTCAAGTCCCTCTTCGGTTTTTCTTTTTCCAGGTTAAATATGCCCAGTTCTTTCAGTAATTCCTCATATAATAGAAGCTGTAGTAGAGCACTTACAACATGATATGGTAAGTAAGAGTTATGGACCTGGAGTTAGAAAAACTTGGACTCAAATCCCACCACTGATTATCAGTAACTTTGTGAGCATGGACAACTCCCTTAAGCTCTCTGGGTGTCAGTTATTTTACCTGTAGTATGTAGATAGTAATAACTTTAGTATCCATCTCACAGGATTTCTTTGAGATATTAATGAGATAACATCGGTAAAGTATTTTGCAAACTTTAAAATTGTTAAATAAATGTCAGTTCTTTTATTTCCTGGTTTGCCATGGCCAAGGCATGTCATCAGGGAAATGTATAATCAAGAAAGAAGATGAGCTGGTCATGTGGCAAGAGCATGAGATAACCAATGGAAGACCCATTTGCTCTGCTGGCATTCTTTCAAAAGATGCCCAAGAAATAAGGGAAGGCACCCAACATATTAAATGAAAACCCTGTTGCAAACTTATGGAAAGATGAGCGAAAGAGTCTGATAGAATGGGCAAGCATAGATGGTTTGCAATCTGTATCCATAGCAATATGTATCCAGGACTGGATATAATACTTTACTTGTTCTCTGACTAGGCCTGAGTATAGCCAGACTATTACCTCTCTACTCAGGGAAACTATACCTCTCTTAATTCAGCCTAGGATCCCATTCATTTTATTAGATGCCATATCACACTGTTGACTCTTGTAGAACTTGCAGTCCATTAAATCTCCCAAATCTCTTTTAGATGAACTCCTTTCTCCTCATTCTTGTTCAAACAGAGCTACAGGTAGAAAGTGGATTGAGCTGACAAGTCCAGGTTCTACCCCTATAAAGGAAAGCTTTGGGTGGAGTTTAGGGCTCCACCTTCCAGCCCTCTAGTAAAGGGGAGAAGAGACTGAGGGAGGTAGGGAGGTGTTAAGTATCCAAGACCCGAGTTAAACAACGTGCCTGAGGAGATTTCTGGTGATCTGCTTGCGGGAGGGGAGTAGGAAGGCATTCATTACCTTTCTGAAGCATCCCATTCCATTTTAGGATAACTTATTTTTAAGGAAGTCTTTCCTTACATGAAGCCTACATCTGCCTCTTAGCAGCATCTACCCATTGTTCTTAGTTTTGCCTCTCCTTGCTTAAGGATACTATGTGTTTCATCATAGCATTGTCATCATAACTGACTGCTTTAAAGTTTTCAAAGATGGTTACATAGAGAATCTCATTTGAGTCTCACAACAAACTCTATTAGTTAGGTACTACAGGGACAGTTATTATACCCATGTCACAGAAGAGGAAACAGACTCGGAGGGAAAGCAGTTTATCCTTGCCCAGAGACAGGTATCAGAGACAGGATGTGAACCCAGGTTTTCTTGACTTGTTTTGTTTTGTTTGTAGGCAGTTGGGGTTAAATGACTTGCCCAGGGTCACACAGCTAGTAAGTGTCAAGTGTCCGGTCTAAGACCAGATTTGAACTCAGGTCCTCCTGACTTCAGGGCCAGTGCTCTATCCACTTCGCCACCTAGCTGCCCCTCAGGTTTTCTTGACTTCTTAATGAAGGCTAAAGTTAAATTAGCATTGATGACTGCCATATAGAAGTTATCAGTTTCCTTGATTGTGATGATAAACATCCGATTTTTTTATTTTCAGATCAGAAATCGTATGTTTCTTCAATGAGAGCTGTGCAGATCCTTCTGCAGTACTTCTGGTGCAAACATTTTTCTAGGTAGTCTTGGATGGCCTGACTTTGCTTACTCAGACAAGGATGGTATAAGGAGGTGATTTGACCAATCTGCTTTCTATTTTGGAAGCCTATCTTGTGAATTAAGAAATATTGTTTTTGTCAGACTTAACAACTCGTTCTCAAAAATGCTAAGATACTGGGGAGAAATCCCAATATCATCCAGCCAAGCTAACAGAAGCTCCTTTGATTTGCTCCCACGGGAGTTTCGTCTGGTGGAAGTCCAAGATCCACTCTTGCACCAACCCTCTGCCAATAAGCCACGGCCAACCACCATGCTGGACATCCCATCTGAGCCTTGTAGCCTCACCACCCACACAATCCAACTTATCCAGCACAACCGGCGCCTACGAAGCCTCATTGCTACAGCCCAGGCTCAAATGCAGCAGCAGGCAGAGGGCATCAAAACTGAAGAGAGTGAACCACTTCCATCCCGTCCAGCTTCACCTCCCCTCCCTGATGACCTGCTTTCTTTGGATAACAAGACTGGCAAAATGCCATTCCAGATCAGGCATAGTGACCCAGAGAGTGACTTTTACCGGTAAGGCAGGGATCTAACATGGAATATCTGAGAACATGCAAAATGAGGTGATCCAATCTATTTTAAGTACTTTAGTGGCTCTTAGCTATGTGAAATGCCATCATTGCCTGAGAACAGGCAAGCTGTTACTTTGCTAGTCTGAATATTGAGTGACTTATATCAGCTGAGTAGTAGAGAGAACATATTATTGTACTCCCTGTCTATATTCCATAAGGAGAGAGGAGTGGTAAATTTAATATGTAAGTTAACAAGTCTTTTATAAAAATTAGGTTTAGAAGTTCAAATATTTCTGTCTAGAGGAACTCTTTAACAATACAGCCTTACCCCACAAGCATGAAGATGTCATACATGAGATTAGAAAAGCAGGATTTTTGTCATAGCTTTCAGGTTTGGGTTTTTTGGTTTTTTTTTAAAGATACTTTCTTTAATTCTTCATTATGAAGCCATACATCATATTGGATGTTAAGCATATCTTTGATAAATAATCGATTTTTCCAATATATCCAAAGGTTTTTTCTTTTTAAAAAAATTTTTTTAATTAACAAAAATCTATTTTTTCTTTCTCTCTTTTCTCCACCCCATTGGCAAGAGCTTCATAATGGGGGGGGGGCATACAACACTTTTAACAAATATGCATAGTCAAAACATTGTTTTTATTTGCTTTTCTTTACTTTTTAGTGATTTGGAACATTATTTCATGTGGCTGTTGATAGATGACATTTCTTCCTTTCAGAACTGCCAGTTTATATCTTTTGACTATTTGTCTATTAGGGAATTTGCTATATCTGTGTTAACCTTAGTACTTTGCTGGTGGACCAACCTGACTATTTCAGAGAAGCACATGGTAAAGTAGAGAATATTTCCCCATTTGAGAATATTCATCCACATATGACTGTTTTGTACTAATCACTTTATATGGAGCTGCTCCATATAAAGTTATTGTTGTTTATAGTTACTGTGTAAGCTGTTTGCAGTACTAGGTGGAATTATGCTGTTATTGTATTCAAAGTGCACAAGAGGTAACTGAATATATATTAGGTAGTAATATCTGAAGATGATTACTGAATCCATAGACTAGTGCATTGAAATATGGGGACTGAAGTTGACTAAAAGAGAACTAAAGTTGGAGAGTTCCAAGTTGTGATCATGGAGTGCCTGGGATATGCTCAGGCAGTATGAGAAAGAAACCAGGAGAGCTAACCTGACCCAGATTTCCCTACAACAGTGGAAATTGGTTTTCTTGAAATTGGAAAACTCCTAGGAAGGCAGGGATAGGTTTCTTCCACAGTATAAGTCCTCATAATATTGCTCTGTCTATACTTTCAGAGGAAAGGGGGAACCTGTGACTGAACTGAGTTGGAACTCCTGTCGTCAGCTGCTTTACCAGTCAGTAGCCACAATCCTGGCTCATGCAGGCTTTGAATGTGCTAATGAAAGTGTCCTGGAGACTCTCACAGATGTGGCCCATGAGTATTGCCTTAAATTTACCAAGCTGCTGCGCTTTGCTGTGGACCGGGAGGCCCAGTTGGGGCAGACTCCATTTCCTGATGTTATGGAGCAGGTGTTCCATGAAGTAGGCATTGGTAGCGTGCTTTCCCTGCAGAAGTTCTGGCAGCACCGCATCAAGGACTATCACAGTTATATGTTACAGGTGAGGGCACCATGTGACTAAGTAAACAATTAAAGGGGACTGAATTAGGGGTTCTCAGGTTCCCTCAGCCCTCCAACTGGAGTGGAGAGTGAAAACTGTAGAAGGGAAGAATCTTTATCTTTGGTAATCTTGTCTTTTATTTTCCTAAGCCACTATGTTGCCCAAACCTCATTTCTTGTTTTGAGTAGGGGCTAATCAGTAATATTCCCTGTAGGTTGAAACCAGATGACAAGAACTTAACATGTGCTAGAAAGAGGTAAGGACAGAGAGATGGTAAATATATTCAGAACATTGAACTCTAGATCAGAAATTCCTGTTTAATCTAATCTTCTCTTGTGGCCATATGAAAACCTCTTGACCATTTCTTCAGTTTCCTCAAGGCTAAATGGGATAAAGTATTTCTAACACATAAGAAGAAAGGCTTCCTTAATTAGCCTAGGTCTGCACACCATGTACAATTATACCTAAAAATAGAAGCTTTTTTACTGTCCCTCCTATTTTCCATCAGTATCTTTCTTCACATTTTCTCATATACACATAGCCTATCTGTATCATAAACAAGCCTTTTTTACATCTGTCATGCCTTCATCTCATTCATTTGCTAAACAAAACTTATTTTAAACTTCTCTGTCATTCATACTCTTCCCTCTCCAACACCTTTACTTCCTTTTTTTTTCCCAGGGGAAGAAAGATGAAGATCAGCTTGCCTTCACCGTTCTCTTGGAAAACTTTGTCTCTTGCCTGCTAACAGGTTAGCAAGCAGCTCTCTGAGGAGTATGAGAAGATTGTAAATCCTGAGAAAGCTACAGAAGATACCAAACCTGTGAAAATCAAAGAGGAGCTTGTCAGTGATATCACCTTCCCTGTCAGTGAGGAGTTGGAAGGAGACCTGGCATCTGGTGACCAGTCTTTACCTGTAGGAGTGCTTGGAGCTCAGAATGAACGGTTCTCATCCAACCTAGAGGTTGAAGCTTCCCCACAGGCTTCAGGTAGGAAAAATGCTCTTACTCTGTGACACTGACCCATTCATCCAGCTTCCCTTACTGCTTTTGCTTTTTCCTTCCATATGAAATCAAACTCTTGAGGAAATGTTAGATGAGCTGGAGGTAAAAGAATGAAAAAGAAGAAGGGGAAAGGAAAGTAAGAATGAAAAGCCCAGAATTTTAAAATGCCAGGTCACAAGACATCTCAGTTGGATGCTTGGATTCTGAAGTTACCTTCTCTCTCCTTTTCCTGTCCTTATTAGAAAAATAGATTAGGCTAGAGCAGGGGTGGGAATTTGTTAAGGGGATTTGTTCTGTGAAGTTTGAATTCAGTCAAAGGGCCACACTTGAGGGCCTAGAGGTCCACATATGGCCTTGAGGCTGTAGGTTCCCCACCCCTGGGCTAGAGGAAGAATTCTCCAAAGTAGCTTTCAGTTATGGCATGATTACAAGAAAACTGCTGAGTGAGTCAAATTAACTTCTCTTCTCAAAGATTGGGAAGCGTACAAATGCACATTCCAGTTCAGCCACATAAATTAATTTTGCAAATATTAAATGCTACTTAGATCTTCATCATTTTCTTTAGCCCAGCTAAGCAAATTAACCAATACTAGGACCTTCTCCCTCTGAAGTCTTATTCTGATCTCTTATTGAAGGTGATGCCAGCCTCTTCATGGCTATGCCAGTAGGACATAAATTTGGCAGATCCTCCCAATCTGGAAAGGTTTCGAGTACAGATCCATCCAGTATTGGACTTTATATTGTTATATAGGGACCAGCCTAGCTAGGTTCAAAGAGCATCATCACTGGAGGGCTGCATGGTGTTGAAATTTTTGGCTGTACCAACTTTCAAAGATGGTCTACTGAATTATAACTGGATCGGAGGCAGCATTTGCAGAAATAGTCCTCATATCGATGACATTATAGATCCTTCGGGTTTTGGTGGTAGTAGTGGTGAACCTGGGAGAAGTCAGAAATGACTTTAAAAAAATGTTTTTAAAATATCAGGCAAAGAACCTAACAAATAGGAAAAATAATTGGAGATCATGACTAAATAGAGAAGAGAGTCTGAGAGGAATTACTGAAGACACACAGAGCAGTCTGCCATTCATAGACATAAGACTCCCCTCCCTGGGTCAGGCCTGGCCAAATGAGGAGAGAGATAATCTTGACTTCTTTCTACCTGGAACAGTGTCAGGAAGCCCGAATGAAAGGCTAGAAGACAGGTGCCTTGTAAAGGAGGACACCAGAGGAAGTATCTCCATGAGCCCCTGAACTGGGCAGGGACACTCCCATCCTTTTTATCTCCCCTTAAAGAGTTAAGGGAAAGTGGGGATATGCTCAGGGTTCATCTACCTTTGGAAGTGACAAAATGGAGGGCAGCTACCATGATTTTTCCTAGAGATAGCTTCCTTATCATAGACAGCACTAGGCTGCATGGACCATTTGTCTGACTTAATTTTGTATTTATTAATCTCTTTTATAAAAAGTTTTCATTTATGTCAGCTCTCAGATTCCTTCTCAGTCCACGATCTTCACTAACTTGTGTGCATTTGGTTTTTTGTTGGTGTTTGACTGCTGGGCTGTTGGAATCTGTTTCCAGGTGCTGAGGTAAATGCTTCTCCTCTTTGGAATTTGGCCCCAGTAAAAATAGAGTCACAGGAAAGTGAAGAAGGCACTGTCTCTGGGCATGGTGTGCTGGGCAGTGACGTCTTTGAAGAGCCCATGTCAGGCATCAGTGAGGCTGGGATACCCCAGAGTCCCAATGGCTCAGAGAGCAGCTATGGATCCCACTCCCCTGACAGCCTCATGGGATCATCCCCTGTCTTTAACCAGCGTTGCAAGAAGAGGATGAGGAAAATATAAGATGAAAAGGAAGAGCTTTTTCTTCCAAACCAATAAGGTGGTAACTATAGAAGAACTCTTTCCCACGAACAGTGAATTGATGTGGAGGGGTCCAGAGGCTCTTCCTAGGATCTCCAACAATGGGTTTGGCCAACAGTGGGCTTTTCTGCCCCATGGAGACTGTCAGCACAGTTTTGCATGAACAAAAACTAAAACAGAAACCAAGGTGGTGATCATGAGACCAGAGTTCTGTTTTGGTGTTAATACTGAGTTTTGCAATAGGATCAAGTTACTTCACCGATAAATCTGGTTCCTCTTTTCTACCATGAAATACACATACATGCTACAACTATCTCACCGAGAGCAAGCTATGGAGATTAATTATGGTGATTTATCAGATTTGTTAAAGCTATTACTTCATAGCTATGCTTAGATTTAGGCCCTATATGTATTGAGGAATTTTGTATATATGTATTTTGTTTAGCTTTCTTCATTAACAGATGGAAGTCACTGTAAATCAGATATTGGTGCCTAAAAACAAATGGTCAACACCAATAAATGGCTTCTTCCACCAACTAACATCAGCAGTCCTGCTCATGAAATTTTTTTACAGCTAGCCCCCTGTGGTGACACATGTTGCACCAACCCCTCCCAATCCCCTCCTTTCTCTTCATTGTTTAGCTTTTCTTCTTCCTATCTTCCCTACTACATTTTTTGCAATGTATGTTACCTTGTTTTATCCTCTCTTTTCTTTCATACATATATATGTGTGAATGTATTTGAGGCAGAGTGTGGTTAGGTTAATTAAGTCAAATTGAGAAAAACAAAGGGAAGTTTTCAGGGCTGAGGAATGGCCAGCAGATTAGTGTTCTCCTTAAGGTCTATACGGGATGAAGTTGTACTATTTCTGCTGCTCCCATATCACTTTACTAAGTACCTATTATGTGTAGGGCATTGGAAACACAAAGGCAAAACAAAACTCACCCTGCTCAAGGAGCTTACATTGTAGTGGGGAATTATATAACACGCACAGTTGATATACAGAGTAAGAGCCTGAACTAATGTGGACTGGCTCTGATCCTGGACTACTGAGCAGAATGCACTGACAGTCATATTTACTCTTTAGCTTATTATCCCTACTTAGGGTTACTTCAGGAAAATCCTCTGACATACTCATGGTAAAAGTCATGTCTAGGTGTCCCTAGCTTGCATGGCACGTGAATAAATAAAGTGCTGAGCCTATAATCAGAAAGACCCTAGTTCAAATCCAGCCTCAGATGCTTACTAGCTCTGTGACCCTGGGCAAGTCATTTAACTGCTGTTTGCCTCAGTTTCCTCAGCTGTAAAATGGAGATAATAGCACCTACCTTGTATGGTTGTGAAGATGAAATAAGATATTTGTAAAGTGATTGGTGCAATGCCAGGCACATAGTAGGTAGCTGATAAAAATGCTTATTCTCTCTATGCAACATAGGTACTAGATATGGGACAGCTTGTATTTCCCACACAGAAAATGCATGAGACACAAAGGACTTGAGGAGCCCATAAAGAAATATAGAAAACATAAAGCATGCAATCCATTAGCTTTCTCCATGATCCCCAGATTTAGGGAATCAAGCTTGGAGTTGTTATTAGAGCAACATCCTGATATTCTAGGGAAATCTTTCCCACGGTCATGTTGTCCCCACTGATGCTCCATCACATGTCACTCTAGTTTAGATTCTCCTCAGAAGTAACATACTTCAGGGGTTGATGAACAAGTAATTCACTTCCCATCAGACCTTCATTGTGGGTCCACAATTCACTGGCTTTGTTCTCCATATAGGGTACTACACAGGGAGTGTGCGGATAATCTTTCTCCAAGAAACACTGGACTGCTGTTGGCCATGATCTGCTACCTGGGTACTAACTACATGGTTGTGGTTTCTAATGAGGGATGGGTGGCTTTCACAACACTAATATATGCTATGTTTTATAACATATCTATGACAACTTTACTGACCTTATATACCTTTTATCCATGAGTATAAAATTAGAGTCATGCTTTATATTAGCATGTGAAAATTAAAGTATCTCCCTGGAATAAAATTCATGAAAGTCAAACATCTTTTATCACTGGTCTTACATCAGGGTACAACTTGTTAGCTAAACAACTGATTTTTTTATTTAGTTTAAATAATTTATGAAAAATTGGCCAGACACCCAGTATGAAGTCTTTAGACCACATAGCTAGTCTAAATTTTTCCTACTCAACAATGGAGAAGGTAACCAATAAAATTGGTAGGAAAATTGAATAACAGGATGAAGAAAAAGGAACTTAGACTCATATTTTGTATCATCTAAAATAAATTCCAAATCAGTGATCTAAATTTAAAAACATATACATCATAGAAAAGTTGGAAGAAAATGAAATTATAGATATCACAATTGTGAAAAAGAAGAAAATTGTTAAAATGGAAAAAAATTATAGACAAAAGCAGATCGGTTTGATCACAGAAAACAGATCTTGTACAAAAAATCATCCACAATAAAAACCAGTGGAAAAAATGTGTTGCAAATGTTTTTTGATAAAAATGAGACATACAAAATCTATGAAGAATTAATGCAAATTTGTAAGAGTAAATCCCTAAATGGTCAAGGGGTGTATGGATGGGAAGTTCTTATAAGGAATCTAAATTATTAACCACCACCAGAAAAATTCTTAAAACTCACTAGTAGAGAAATATACATTAACATTTTTTTGTACCAGACTTGTAATTTAATTGGTATAGGAAATTCCCCATAAGGAAACTCCACACCAATGCAGGTCAGCACCTTCTTTGCAACTAACAGTTTTCAAGAGTTGTCTAGGCTACTGAGAGGTCAAGTCACCGCCTAGGGTCACATGACAGTATGTGCCAGAGGCAGGCCTTGAACAAAGGTCTTCCTGACTTGAAGGCCAACTCTCTATCCATTATGCCATGCTGCCTCTGCTGCACAATCTTATTAAATTGGCAAAAATAGTTATAAAATTCAGCGATGGTAGGGGCAATGGAGAAAGCCTGGGGGAAGCTGTGAATTGGTGTAAACTTGTATATGGCGATATGTGAACATCAAAACTTCACAAAATCTGAGTTGGAAGGGACCTCAGAGGCCTTTTACTGCAGTCCATATTTGAAATTCCATCTATAACATGCCAGTTGAATGTAAGCTTCTTACAGGCAAGAGCTGGGTCTTTTTTGTCTTTGTATCCCCAGTGCCTTGCATGTAGTAGATACTTAATGTTTGTCTTCCTTCAGAGGATTTGAGGTTAATTTGGATATTTATAATAGTCAGAATGGTTTGACTGCTCGAAGTTGTTCTTAAAACAATACTGCTGTTACTATATATGTCCTCTTGGTTCTGATAATTTCACTCTTTATTATTTCATGGAAGTCTCTCCGGGCTCTTCTAAACTCATTGAGCACTACTCCAGATCACTATTGATTAGAGAAATGCAAATCAAAACAACTCTGAGGTACTGCATCATAATTATCAGATTGGCTAACATGACAAAATAGGAAAATGATAAATGTTGGAGATGTGGGAAAATTGGGACACTAATGCATTGTTGGTGGAATTGTGAATTGATCCAACCATTATGGAAAGCAATTTGGAACTATGCCCAAAGGGCCATAAAACTATACATGCCCTTTGACCCAGCAATACCATTTCTAGGTCTGTATCCCAAAGAAATCATAAAAATGGAACAAGGACCCACATGTACAAAAAATATTTATAGTATTGTGGTGGCCAAGAATTGGAAATTGAGGGGATGTCCATCAACTGAAGAATGGCTGAACAAATTATGGTATATTAATATAATGGAATATTATTGTGCTCTAAGAAATGACGAGCAGGAGGACTTCAGAAAAACCTGGGAAGACTTATATGAACTGATGCTGAGTGAAGTGAGCAGAACCAGGAGAATATTGTACACAGTAACAGCAACACTGTTCGATGATTTTGATAGACTTAGCTCTTAGCAATGCAAGGATCTAAGACAACTCCAAAAGACTCATGATGCAAAATGCTATCCACATCCAGAAAAAGAACCATGGAGTCTGAATGCAGATTGAAGAATACCATTTGCTCTTTTATTTTTGTTTCTTCTTTCTCAGGGTTCCTCCCATTGGTTCTAATTCTTCTTTACAACATGACTAATGTGAAATTTATATGAATTTATATCATATTATATCAGACTGCCTGCTGTCTTGGGGTGGGGGGAGAGGAGGGAGGGGGAAAAAATTTGGAACTCGAGATTTTATGAAAGTAAATGTTGAAAACTAAAAATAAATTAATTGAAAAAATAAAATAAAATCATTGAGCTCATCATTTCTTATACTGGAATAATATTCCATCATAAACATATACCACAATTTGTTTAGCCATTCCCCAACTGACAGGCATCCCCACAGTTTCCAGTTCTTTGCCACCACAAAGAGAGCTGCTATAAATATTTTAGAATATATAGGTTCTTTTCCATTTTCCCTAATCCTCTTGGGAAACAGACCTAATAGTGGTATGGTCAAAGCTATAGGCCATTAAAGATTTTTCACTCATTTCTTAACACTTCTACCCAATCTATCTTTTGACCTTACTAACTGAAACCAATCTTGCCAAGATTACCAAAGAGCTCTTAATTGCACAATCTAATAGCCCCTTCTGAGTCTTAATCCTTATTAATGATATGGTAGATAGAAGGATGGCCTCAATCAGGAATACCTGGGTTAAATTTCCCCCTGACAAAAACTGGCAGTCACTTAACCAGTATCCCAGGAAGATCTTTTATTAATGTCCTTCCTCAAAGGTGGTGCTCAAAATCGAACACAGTATGCCATATTAAGTAAATGTAAGAAAATTTAAGGCACTAATTTAGGACAGAAGTTGTAGAACTCATGTTAAGTCTATGCCAAATGACTAGAAAATTGTGACAATGTTACAAAAATAAGTTTCCTGTGCTGGTGATTTAGGACTTTTTGTATCTCACTCTGGAGTCCTGGAGACTATGTTACAGATTTGTCATGATTTAACACCACAAATGGATCTTTGAATTCTCTTTCCATTAGATAAACATACTGTTCTCATTTGCAACTTTGTAATGTACCTAGCTGTATAGAGATCACCATTTAGAACCTCTGTAGAATCCCCTTGGTAAGGCATAAAACTCAGTCTAATGTCACTGCATTTTTGGAAAGCGTAGGGATTCCAAGCCAGTCAAAAATGCTCTGTACAGTGGTCTAAAATATTAACAAATATAGTTCTAATAGATATAATCATTAAAACATAACAGAGACCAGCTCTTAAATAATGTGTTGAATTCAAAAATTTCATTTGGTCTGACACTATACTGATAAAGCCTAGTGGTTTGAGTTGGACAAAGAAAAAGTATATACATTTGATCTCATGTGTTCTAGGATGTTGCTATGAATTAAGAAACAGGGCAAATATATCCTTGCATATGTATATATTAAATAAATGAGTCCCTACCTTAGAGTGGGAAGGGGTGGGGAAGTGGGATATATGCTAGTCTCCAAAAGAATTTGGACCTTGACTCAAAACTTCTATGTGGCCTCTATATTGTAAATTCTCTAAGTCTCTATGAGCAGAAAAGGACCCCTTATCTTTATGTGGTAAATTTCAGGAAGCAATACCTAAAGACCAGATTAGACATGTGACTTCAATTCTTCATTTTGAATGAGGGGAGACTTGAAACTTAAGTAATTTCTCACTAATTTCAAATCATGACACGTAGGCTCACAAAGTTAATAAATTATTTATCCAAGTTCCAACACAAAGTACAGCGTTCCTGTTTCCCTCCAACAAGCTTGAGGTCCTATAAACAACATAATAAAGAACAAGTTCTAGCACTGATACTGACAAAATGAGCAGAAAGCTGCTGACATTCCTGGCTTGTGAAGACTCACTCTCAGCACCATTTGTCACACAGGGAAAGGGGCACATACAGCCAAGGGCGTAGAAAAGACAGGGAGAAGTGTTGGCTGTAAAACCAGCCTCCCAAAAGAGATGAATAAGACTACCAAGAGTGAGCTCTCAATTTCTACTTGCCAGCAGCAAAGATATTTGAGTTTAACATGATAAAACAGTAAGATAACCTCAGGGCCGCAACAGTATGAGCTTCTATCCAGAGGGCTTAGGAAAGCTGAAGAGGAATCCAGCTTCTCTCTTCTGGTTCTGCTTGGTCACCGAATCTCTCTAATACTGACTTCCAAGCCAAAAGTTCTCTTCATGACCAAAACCAGTGGAAGACAACAATAGTTCCTTCATGCAGAACTCCTGAACTCAGCATTTCAAGTAACCTAAATACAGCTTCCTAATGTCTCTCTCCCCTAATTATTTATTTATTCATTGCTTCTGTTCCTGTACCATGTCACTGATTCCTGCATAAAATTCTTGAAAGCAGGTTCTTCATGGCTTTCTTCTGTAACTGAAAAGGGAAGAAGTAGTGAAAATTACTTTCCAATTATCCAGGTGGGTGGGAATTGTTCTCCTTCCACTCCTCAGGAAAGATATTTTGTTCCAATAAAATCTGACTGTTCCCTTTATTCAACCAGGAAGCTCTCTGAGACCTTTATGACCACGTGTAGCCCAAAACACTTGAGAGGTTTTGCCAGCTGGTACTGCTGAAGTTTGGGGATGTCAGGACAGCACCCTAATACTGCAGGAGTTAGGCAGAAAGGTAGATTTGGTTCACAACTCACAGAACTGCCCCTAACCAAGTTAGACCCTCAAGGGTTTTATTGTTTTTGTTCTTGTTTTTGGCAAGACAATTGGGATTAAGTGACTTGCCCAGGGTCACACAGCTAGTGAGTGTCAAGTGTCTGGTCTGAGACTGGATTTGAACTCAGGTCCTCCTGACTCCAAGGCCAGTGCTCTATCTACCGTGCCACCTAGCTGCCCCATATCTCCATATCCCGATTCTCTTAGACTTCTACTTTGTGAATAACCCAGCCATGAACCAAAATAAGTCCCTCAGGATCTTTCCATGTGTCTTCAAAGCAGTTCTAGGGGCCTCAAAATGACATTAGGCTCTAAAAATATCTTGAAGTCTAAAGAGAATCATGGGACAACGAAGAGCCTGAAAATGTTTGTGACTATCCAAGGGCAAAAGAAAGCCTCCGGGAAGCAATTTCCTGTTACTATACCCTTTACCATCTTTCATCTCCATGGCTACAGATGACATGCTTTAGAGACTGGGAATTTTACTCCAAAATAATTTCAAAATATGAGTCTCTTGGGTCACCAACTCCCAGTGAAACAGCTCTCTATCTCTACAAAGTCATTCCAGTTTGCTATCTTCCATGCAACTGTTTTCTCCCTCACCTTTATGGTCAATATCATCTGTATCACTATCTTCTTCATCCTCTTCCTCATCTGCTATACCTCGGGTTAGAATCAGATCAGAAGGAGTCACTGCAGAAGCCGAATTGTCTATAAAAGAAACACAACTATTAACTTGCAGCAAAAACAACTTCACTTCCTAAATAGTGATCAATGAAGCACCCACCCCTATCCCTTGAGAGGAGAGAGCAGCAGAGCAACAAGATCACGGCATCATATACAAAGGCAGCCTTGGGACCTGCCTCAAGAATCCTCAAAGACTCTAAAATCCTGATACCCAGGGTGACCAGGGAACTGTGTAGTAGAGGTTTGGTGGGGTTTATACTGAACTTTGGAACTGTCTAAATGAAGACTAGACACTTATTTTGATATAACAAGGGATGAGGAAATGTCTTTTGAAAAGATAGCAACTATCTTCCCACAGCAGACAACTACAAAATGGAGCAATGAGGACTCTCCAGTGAAGGAAAGGTCACCTTTGAAAATTCTTCCTAAGCCATACTGCCAGAGAAAACTCCCCCTAGGCATTTCACAGATGGTGTAATTGTTCAGTAGCTTCCTAAAGAAAAAATAATTAATTTGAGAAGACCTCAAGTGGTAATCCACTCCATTAAGAAAGACTAAATGGGGGTGGAGCCAAGATGGCAGAGTAAAAGCAGTGACTTGCTTAAGCTCTCCCCCAAACCCTTCCAAATACTTGTAAAAAATGGCTCTAAACAAATTATAAAGCAGCAGAACCCACAAAAAGACAGAGTGAAACAAATTTTCAGCCCAAGACAACCTGGATGGTTGATCAGAAGGGTGTATCGCTCTGGGCGGGGACAGGAATGCAGTTTGGCATGGGCAAGCGGGCAAAACAGGCCTCAGCGAACCTGGAGCAGCCCTCAGAGGACTAAATCATGGGCAGTTGTGGCGGTTTCAAGGAAAACTGCCCTGATATTTTAGAACTAGAGGGCAAAATAGAAATTGAAAGAATCCACTGATCACCTCTTGAAAGAGATTCCCAAAGGAAAACTCCTAGGAATATTGTAGCCAAATTCCGGAGTTCCCGGGTCAAGGAGAAAATATTGCAAGCAGCCAAAATGAAACAATTCAAGTATTGCGGAAACACAATCAGGATTGATAAGACAAGATTTAGCAGCTTCTATATTAAGGGACTGCAGGGCATGGAATATAATACTCTGGAGGACAAAGGAGATAGGATTATAACCAAGAATCACCTACCCAGCAAAACTGAGTATAATCCTTCAGGGGAAAAAAATGGTCATTCAGTGAAATAGAGGACTTTCAAGCAGTCTTTGATGAAAAGACCAGCGCTGAATAGAAAATATGACTTTCAAATACAAGACTCAAGAGAAACATGAAGAGGTAAACAGAAAAGAGAAATCATGAGGGACTTATTAAGGTTGAACTGTTTACATTCTTGCATGGAAAGATGATATTTGTAACTCATGAGACCTTTGTCAGTATTACAGTAGTTGGAGGGGAAAAATATGTATACATAGATAGATAGATAGAGAGGGCACAGGGTAAGATGAAGATGAAGGGGTGATATCTGGAGAATAAAATTAAGGGGTGAGAGAGGATTATACTGGGAGAAGGAGAAAGGGAGAGGTAGAATGGGGTAAATTATCTTACATAAAACAGACAAGAAAAGGCTTTTATAGTGGAGGGGAATTGGGGGAAGGTGAGAGAGAATAAGTGAATAGGGGATAAAAAAAAGAAAGACTAAATGAAGTCCTTGATAGTAAAGGGAGGGGAGGGACTAAACTGCCAACTGCTTCAGGGATAGAAACAGTACAGAAAGCACTTTAACTGTGGAAAAAAAAACCCAAGGGATTATTAGTTATTTCTCATTTAGTAAATAACCTTTCACCCTCCTGTCCCCAACCTAAGCAATCACTGCTTTAGCCTAGAGAGCTGGCCAAGGCCATATTTCAGGATGAGAATCCAGCAGTCAATCTTGATGGAAACCTAAAGGGAACCTTTTAGACTTTGACATCAATTATACAGGAAATGTGAAAAGTCAATAAAAGACAAATTTCAACTCCCACCCATAAAATTGGTAAAGAGGATAAAAGCCTGAAATGGTCACTGTTGGTGTGGCAGTTAAAAGATGAGCATAATAATGCACTATGTGATGATGCTGAGAATTTGTCTAAGCCATCTGGAAAACAATCTGGAATTATCTGAGAAAATCACTAAATTGTTCATGACCTTTAACCCAGAGGTCCTACCATTGGGAATATACTCCACCCCAAAGAGGTCAAAGACCGAAAGGTCCCTAAAACACCAAAATGTTCATAGCAATACTTTCTGTGGAAGCAAAAAGACTGGAAACAAAGGAAGTGACCACTGGCAGGGGAATCAACAAACTGTGGTATATCAATACAATGGAATATTATTTCACCACAAAATTTGATGAATATATGAAAGCATTCAAAAACTTATATGAACTAGAAGGATACACACAATAACTTCAATACTGAAATGAAAACCAGCAGTAAGATACCTGAGCTCAAATTAAATTCAGGTGACCAATTCTGTGTCTGTAAGACAGATGATGGTACACAGTAACAGCCACACATTGTGCAATGACCAACTTTGATAGACTTAGCTCTTCTCAACAAGACAATGGAGTCTGAATGCAGATTGAAGTACACTATTTTCTCTTTTTTCCCGTCTCATGATTTTTCCCTTTTGTTCTGATTCTTCCTTTACAACATGACTAATGTGGAAATATGTTTAATATGATTGTACATGTATAGCCTATATTAGACTGCTTGCCATCTTGAGGAGGGGGGTGGAGAGGGAAAGAGAAAAAAATCTGGAACTCAAAATGTTATAAAAGTGAATGCTGAAAACTATCTTTACATGTGATAGGAAAAAATAAAATACTGTTAAGTTGGAAAAAAAAAAAAGACAGATGATGAAGCAAACTTCCCCTTCTTAATAGGCAAGTGGGAGATTTATAAAAGAAGAACATTACATGTGCTGTCAAATGTAATTGTTCTATAGGGTCAGTTTTTGTCTAATTGTTCTTCTTAGTTATAAGAGAAGGTTATGTGAGAGAAGGGATACAGGTTATATCTTGAAATGACTCCCTCATGTAAAACAAAAGACACTGATAAAAACCAATTCTTATTAAACAATAAAAATGTTAATGAATAGAATTTGTGTATAAAAGTAAAAAAGGGAAATGGGCTAAAAACAACTTGGGGGGAGTAACCAAATGTTCAAAGGTTGACCACAAATATATTTAAATATCAGCTTTAAGAAATTTTATTTAATAACTAGAAGAAAATTATTTGGTTTGCAAATTAGATTGTTTTTTAACATTTTATTGTAACATTATCCATATCCATCTTTGGGAGAAAAAAATGAAGTCAATGGTACATATATTCCTTGCTTACCAAAAAAGTAGGATACAAAGGAACTCTGGTTTTGCCCTCAGCTAAAAGAGATTTCTCCATCTTCAAGTATTCTTATAGCCTTCAGTCTGGATTTGTACTCTGACTAGTAGGTTCCTCAGACATTTTGGGAGGGACTAGACTACGATTTCATTGTTGCAGGGACCTCCCAATGCAGGCCTTCCTCTACACCAGAGTGCATCAGTCCCTTCTCTGCAAGCTATTGCCTCACAGAGTTGTCTTCAGCACTCAGAGGTAAGTGACTTGTCAGGCAGTACATGTCAGAGGTAGGACTTGAACCTGGGTCTTTCTGAGTCCCAAGCTAGTTCTCTACCCAGCATACCACACTGCTTCTCTCTCCTTCATAACACTAACAGCTCGCTGAATCAAAATGTTTGCTGAAGTGAAACTATCCCTAGAAAATAAATGTAGGCTCAAGGAATAGACAAAAACTATTTAAATTTCACCTGAATAGATTGGAAATTGAGTTGCAAGGGCAACAGTAGTACAATAGGACCATGAACAAGACAGAAAAGGGAAGAATGTGAAACCCTCTCCACTTCAAAATAAGCAAACTCATGAAGTGGGAGAGAAAAAAACCAAAGCTACAGCCACTGTGCCAAAGGATATGATGAACGAGAGAAGGGCAGCAATTGCAGGGTGACGTAGAAACATATAAAGATTCTTTCTAAGCTTTAATCCAGTGTAGCTTCAGCAGTGCACTGAACCTCAATCGTCTGCCACCAACACAAAGCCACAGGAAAGGGCAATAACTTCAAGCTGATTCCAAGGTCACTATGCCAATAAACCCCCCAGTCTGAATGAGGACCCCAAGATTACCAACATGGGACAGCAACTAACTGAAGGTGATGCTCTGTAAATCTGTCATCTATACAGAGATTCCCTTTTCCTCCCTCGAATCTTTGCTGTATTCCTTCCTAATGAGGGAAAGTGCTGTATTCCCCAACTTCAACAGACCCTCAGGTACCTGTGGCTGCCCCAGGATCCAAGGCCACAGTCCCCATGTCTTTTCGAAGACGGTCCAGTTGCTCTTTTTGCTGCTGGCTCTGTGCATGGGCCTGTAGAAAGGAGGAAAAAATCACAGAAAAGAAAATCCCTGAGGTGAGAGGAAACTCTTAGTCTTCCAAAGAGAGGTTAACAGCAATGGAAAGATTCAGAGGGCTGTCTGGACATTAAGGAAGAAAGGGTTTGAATGAAAGGTAAAAGGGACCGAAAAAAAGAGGGGTTCATGAAGTGAAGTAAGGGCTACAACTGAAACTAAGTAAAATAGATACATGGCACAGGCAGGTAAATGAAATTCCTGTCAAATACACGTGGTAGAAAGTTTAATTACAATGGACCAATCTGGAGATACTAGTTTTAGGTTCAATCCAGAATCTTGCTTTAAGAGCAAGTCATGTGGGTTAAGGGTAGTGACTGGCATCCCTGTCTGCATATACTATGTGTTGGGCACATATACTGAGTAATCTTAGCTCTGCCAAGGGTCTCTTAAGGTCATCAAGTGCCTTTCCCTTCATTCCTGTTGGTGCTTTTCCTATTCTAACAGATTCCTAAGAAAGGAGATTCTACAGCCTAAGCTATAACCTCACAGTCAGGAAAGTAAACTTCAGAGTGGAAGACGACAAGTTATATGCTCAAAAAGGAAAAGCAGGAACTCTCTACAATTAACCTGTTGACAACCCACCTCCCCAGCTTTATTTCATACTTCTCTACATTCAGCCATATTGAAATACCTTTTGCTCCCCAAACCTTATATACCATCTCCCACCTGTGGGCATCCATACAGACCACCTCTATGCTTGGAACGTATGGATCTTCTTATTAAAATAACAGCTCACATTAATCATTATTTTGATCTTCACAACAAAGTGTTATGTTGTTGTAGGTGCTATTATTATCCCCATTTTGCAGATGATAAAACTAAGGCTGAAAAAAGGTTAAGTGACTCAGGGTCACACAGTAGTTCAATAAAGCAGAATTCAAGCACTCTATCCACTGTTCTATTCTGCCTCGTCAGATACCCCTTTTTCAGATGCTTTATTGTCCTTCAAGACACAATACAGGGGCCACTTCCTCCATGAAGCCTTCCCTTAAAATCCTCAAACTTTCCCTCTTCAAATATTCCTAGAACACCCCATTTTGCAGATGATAAAACTAAGGCTGAAAAAAGGTTAAGTGACTCAGGGTCACACAGTAGTTCAATACAGCAGAATTCAAGCACTCTATCCACTGTTCTATTCTGCCTCGTCAGATACCCCTTTTTCAGATGCTTTATTGTCCTTCAAGACACAATACAGGGGCCACTTCCTCCATGAAGCCTTCCCTTAAAATCCTCAAACTTTCCCTCTTCAAATATTCCTAGAACATTTTGTCTGATGTCTCTTTTGTCTCCCCCCCCTGCCCCCGTCCTCTTTACTCCCTATACCTTGTAACAGTCACCTTTGTATATTTACTATCCCCCAAGTAGGATGTAAGGTCTGTGAGGACAGGGGCTATTTAATTTTCATCTTTATAATCCCAACAGTGCCTTGCATATAGCAGGTGCTCAAATGTTTATTCAACTGAATTTGTTGTTTAAAATGTCACAAAGAAACCCAATTTTCAAATGTGAATTTAAGAAATCAGAACCTGAGGTGGCATGATGTAAGCAAGAGAAGAGCTGGCTGTGGAACCTGAAGACCAGGAGTGGCTTTGTGACCTCAGCAAAGGCCATCAACCTCTCAGTAAGATGAACAGACACTTTCACCACCTCCCACAGCCTGGCTGGGAAGAAACTGCTTTGAAAACTGTAAGATGACCTTAACTGTGAGCTATTATTATTTCTGAGTGACGAAGAACTATGACAAGATGGTGAATATACAAATTTAAATGAAAAGAACAGGAATCTGCAAAGTGCCTTGATATCCATGAAAACAAGCCTGTGACTTCTGGGGCACTAAAAGAATAGCCAGTTCCTTTCTTACCAATGTTTTCTTCAGACGCTCATATTCAGGACGATACTCCCTAGAAAGAAAAAATTCTTTTTAAATGCCTTGCCTCAAGAGCAATCTGTTCTAGGCCAACCAGCTAGAACTCCCATCACTAAAGGGAAGAAAATAAGCAAACATAGTTAAAATAAAGGGATCTGTCTAAACCTAAGGTTACTGAGTCCCAACAGGTCAGTGAGATACTACTACGAAATAAGCAAAGCTCCAAAGTGACTAACCTGCCCATGAAACTAGGAAATGCAAATAATTCTTGTCTAAAAGATTTGCTTGGTTGGAGAGGTGAACATTGGATGGAAGCTTAAAGTGAGTGAAGGCTGTCTACTGGGTTCAGAAATCTTGACATGGAACTGTGATGCACCTAGACAATAATCAGCAAGTTGGATGGGATGAAAAATCCTTGTCTGAAGAATCAACATGCCTGACAACTATTAGTGACCCAGAAGCAAACATAACCAAAGATGAAGATCAGTGCTAGTGAGGTCAGAAGCAGACACATACAGGTGTTGGGGGAAGGAAGAGAAGAAAAGTGTATGGAAAAGAGTTTTTCTGTGAAGTAAACATGTTGTTGATGACCTACTTCTATAAAAAGGTCAAATGTCACCCAGTAAATGGGGGTGGGAGGTGGGAAAGGAGTACATGTGTGTAATATGAATCAAATGCATAAATGGAGAAAACCTGAATGCCTGGCCTAAAAAAAAACACCTCCCTCATCCCAGAAGTGAATCCCAATGTGGCTATCAATTACCTCCTTCACTTCTTACCTTTCATATTCTTCTGTGGCACTAGTGACTTGCACAAAGAGTTCTTCTAAGCCTGTGCCCAGGACAGCAGACACCCCCACCACCTGCCAAAAGCACCCCAGAATCCTATGAGTAAATCACTGAAAAACTTGGATTTAAAATTTATATCTTCTCATTTTGAAAGACTTAAGAACTCTGATTAACAAAACAAGCAACTGTGACCCCAGAAGACTGATGGTGAAACACTGCTCCCTTCCTGAGAGGGAACAGTCTCAATGTGCAGAATGAGATACACATTTTCGAACACAGCTAATAGGAGAATTTGTTTTGCTTGATATGCACATGTTACAAGGATTTTTTTTCCCACTGGGTGGAGGGGAAGGCAGGGTAAATGGGAGGGAGAAAAAGATGCTTGATAATTTCTTAAAATTGCAAATTTTAAAAATGTCCTCTACGTTCTGTTTTATTCAAATAGTTTTTGTTTGTTTGTTTGTTTTTTGTTTTAGTATTCTACAGTGTTCAGTGTTCTGCCTTATGTTGCTCCTCCTGTCCTTTCCCCCCAAATCTCTACCTATCAAGCAGACCCATTCTTCTAAGCTCAGGTGACATTCAACTGCCTCAGGCAGGTTCTCTGATTTCCCTCCCCACCCCAGCCCACCAGAAAGTAATCACTCCCTCCTATAAATTCTAATAGTACTCTGTTCCTCTTTCACAGCACTTCACAAGCCTAGATTTTACGTTGTTAACAGCACGACCTATATTGTAGTCATTGTATTTCCCCTAGGTCCTACTTTATTGACTTGTACTTGCAGGTACTCAATCATATTTGTGGAAAGAAATATCTGTCCAAGCAATATAACTTAAATTATTAATGCATTCAACATTTACTAAGTGCTTATTATGGGCAAGGCACTGCATTAAGCAGGGGTGACACAAAAATGAAAAAAAAAAACCCAACAATCCTAATTCTTCCTGTGGCTCAACAGAGATTTGTGTTACCAAGAAGATATAAATAGGGAAATGACCTTCTTCTCTCCCAGGACAGAGAAAGATAAAAATAGTGGCTCTAGCAGATCTAAAGTAAAAATGTTTTAAATATATTTTTAATGAACAAAATCAAACAAGTTGCATGCTTTTGTTCTCTCTTCTTTGTCCACAAGGGAAGAGAAAGCAAGAAAGAAACAGAGTTGGGAAGTGGAATTTACAAGCTGCACAAAGCCTGGAATACTGTGATATTGGTCTCTGCCCGAGGCCTCTCTCCTTTTCATCCTTCATGTAGCTACCAACGTCTAACCATATCATTCCTTACTCAAACTCCATTGGGGAGAAAGAGGAAGGGAAGGGAAGTGAACAAGCATTTATTAAGTGCCTACTATGTGCCAGGCACTATGCTAAGAGTTTTAAAGATATTATTTCGTCTGATCTTCACAATAACCCTGGGAGATATTATACCCATTTCATATTTGATGAAACTAAAGCAGACAAGGGTTAAGTGAGTTGAACAGGGTCAAACAGCTAGAAAATGTCTGAGGCCAGATGTAAACTCAGGTCTTCCTGACTTCAGGCCTACTGTTCTATCTACCGAGCCACCTAACTATCCTTAAATACCTAATTAATTACCTAAATACATGGCACTCTATTACCTCTAAGATAAAATAAGTTCTTCAAAAACTTGGCTCCAACTTACCCTTCCAGTCTTATTACACATTACTTCCCTTCATAAGCTCTATGGTCCAAACTGGCTTAGTCACTATTCCACACATAGGCCACCACATGTGCGTCTCTGCAATGGCTATCCCCCACACCTGGAATGCACTTCCTCCTCATCTCTGACTCTCAGAATCTCTACTAGTCTCTTGAGTCCTCCACTATTCAACTCAAGCACTACCTTTTGCATAAAAATTTTCCTGTTCCCCCCAGCTGCTAGTGGCTTTTCCTAAAAAAAAAAAATCACCTTGAATTTATTTTTCCTTTACACACTTATGTTACCTCTCTGAAAGAACCTAAGCTTCTTAAGGGCAGGCCCTGTTTCACTTTTATCTATCTTCATTGAGCTTAATCTGTTTGTTTATTGATTGATCAGGATGGCTATTTAAAAGACTAAGGAAATCGCTATCATTTTTTTTCACTTCTGTTGAGTTTTGTTTCCTCTTTCTGATAGTTCCTCCTATTGGTTTTAATTTTTACTTATAACTTCACTAATGTGAAAATATGTTTAACAGGAATGTAAATGTATAGCCTATATCAGATTGTGCACTGTCTTGGGGAGGAAGGGGAAGAAAAATTTTAAACTCAAAAGCATATAGAAGTGATTGTTGATAAATCAAAATAAACTAATAAAAAATTTTTTAAAAAAGGCTAAGGAAGCATTTCAGATCAGTTACTATGATAAAATCTAAGGTAACATGCTGAGCATAAAGTTTAAATCTTCCTCAAAGTAGAATGGAAAGCCAAGGTTTTGTTAAGCAACTGACAAAAACAGCTGCATATATGGACAGCAATATGTTTATATTCTTTTAAATTTTGTTCTAAATTGAATATTGTATTCTTTTGCTTTCTATTGTAAAATGTTAAATAATTCATGTTCTCATTTTAACAGTTTTATTTAACAAATAAAAGCAAGGATTTAGCTTACAACCTAATCTTTTCCAAAGATGCCTACTTACTTGACCTATTCAATCAAAGAAAACAGCTGAACCACTAAAGTTTTTGCTCTCTTCTATCCAAGACTTCAATCAAAAATGGTCCTTTACTGATAATCCCAGTCATTTCAAAGATGAAAGAGAGTGGAGGTGAAACTTACCCTGAGTGAACTATAAAACTCATCCAACACTAGACTCATAGAACGAGTCAGATTACTGACATATGTAGTTTCTTGATTTAAGGCATCTTGGAAGGTCTCAAAATCCTGCATCCATTCCACTGCAAAGCTGTGATCAATGATGTCAGTCTGCATCAGACAGAAAATAGAATAAGTTTCAGAACTGAGGACATTGTTCATATAATAAGTGAATGGAAAATGACAAGAACAAATGCAATGGGTCACATGAGCACAAAAGCAAAGTAATATAGTTAAGGAAATTAAAATCCTATACCTAAATATCATGATAAGCATTAGGCTGGAAAAAGTTTGCCAGGGAATTAAACTGTTATCAATTCAAACTCAGTATATGTAAAACCAAGTTCAACAGCCATCTGTTGAAAGATTTTGCCTGACTTCCATATTTCTTCAGGAAACCAGGCAAGAGAATATTGTGTGATGACCCCTCCACTGCCTTTTCTTAGATATTCAGCCACAACCTACTGTGGATTTTTCTTTTAAATGTTTTTTTTTAAGGCAATTGGGGTTAAGTGACTTGCCCAGGGTCACACAGCTAGTGTCAAGTGTTTGGTCTGAGCACAGATTTGAACTTAGGTCCTCCCGACTTCAGAGCTGGTGCTCTATCCACTTCGCCACCTACCTGCCCTGCCCCCCTTTTAAATGTTTCAAATCTATCCCTTGTCCATTTTCATGGCTACCACCCTAAGTCTGGGCCCTTATTACCTCACAACTCAGCTACCAGAATTGCTTATAATTGCTCACCCTACCTCCAGTCTCTCTACTACTCTAACCTACCCTGGATAGATAGACCTAAAATATTAATTTATTCTTTTAATATAGGTTTTATTTATGCCTTCTATCACAATCATTTCTGGAAACCCGCCTCTTCCACCTCCTAGACTCTGAATTTTCTCTTGTAAAAAAAAAATAATTAAGAAAATTAAATAGAAAGACCAAGACCTTGCCCCTCTGGCAGGAGAAGAGTCCTCTAAACATGTACTTTTACCTATAACCAAGCACTTCATCCCCCTCACTGGGCTGGGTGAGACTTCATCATTTCTATCCAGCCACAAACCTCCTAAAACCCTTTCCCCCTACTCACTCTGGAAAGAGTAATTAATTACATCAACCTCCCAATTCCTGGGGATGTTATTGGCACCTCGGTGACTCCCCTGGCCACCACTCCCTCATATCTTTGGTCTTCCCCTATTTAAATGAAAGCTCCTTGAGGGCAGAGACTGTCTTGCTCCTTGTTTTCATAGCCCTCAAATTCAGCACAGTGCCTAGCATGTGGCAAATGCTTAATAAATTATTTTATATTCATTCACATTACCTCCCTGCTCAAAAAACCTAAAAAGGCTTTTTACTTCATACTCAACAACTTTTAACAGGTCCCAGCTTCTTACAGGATCAACTGAAAACATTTCCTGATATTCAAGGACCTTCATAAATGGCCTCAATGAAACTCCTACTATTCCTTTATGTGAAACTTCTGAGTGAGACATTCTAGTCTCACTCATTCTAGTCAATGTAAAAAGTCCTTTGCATTCCTGGCTCCTTACCATAGCTCCTTTTACCTAGAATGAAAGGATATATTTTGTTCTCATATCACATCCATCCCTTAACACTCAACTCTGATCTCACCTCTATTGTCAACATAGTTCCCGGTAGGTAACAGAATCTTAACAAATGTTTGTTGAACCGAAGATGTCCCTAAATAATCCAAGCTAAAATGATCTCTTCCTTCTTCTGAGTACTTATTGTATGCAATTATTGTATACTTTGCCTTTAAATTTTTACTTTTTTTGGCCTCAATTAGAAGCAGGGAAAGTTACAAATAGACACAGAGAACCAAGAATTTACCAATATAAATGCTAACATCCCCAGCGGCTAACATATATATTCAAGACCAGTAAACATTAGCAATCATTAAGTTTTTTCTTTTTAAAAGTTATCTCAGCATACAATGAGCCATTCATATTCTTCTTTCCTCTTCCCTAACCCTCCCTACCAGACCAACAGATGACCTAAATGAAGCATTACTGCACCACAACTGGTAGTTGTTGAATAAATATTTCCTCGGTCCCCTTGGCAACAGCAAATAGCTTCTGGATCCACAGCTAAATAACTTCTATTCCCAGCTTACAAAGATGATTCCAGTTTGTCTAGTTAAGTAATCCCTTGAGTCTCCCTACCTATCCCATCTCCTAACATGAGGGTATCTTACTACAAACAGTAGTTCCTTCTCCCTAATATGCATATGATCTGCTCCATCCAGAGGAGCTTCTGTGGCGACTGCTTAGACAGACTGATACTTTTTCTAGAGAGAGAGATCTCATAGCCTATTCTCCTCTTCTGGCAAAACAAAAGCCTCAATCTACCAGCTCTCTCACCTACAGCCATCCTCCTTAACCACCAAATCTCCCCACAACAAGAAAGCATTAAGAAGAGAAGATCATACCCACGACAGCTTAGACACTGAATATCATCATTAATTTTTACAGTTTCATAGGACTTTAGAAATCACCTAGTATTCTGCCAGATGAGGAGACTGAAGTCCAAAGAGGTTAAATGATTTGTCCAAGGTCACACAGACAGGAGGACAGTTGGTCCTAGAGCTCATATTTACTACCTTTCAGTCCAGTGCCCGGTCCACATGATGCTGAAGGACACCTACCTTGTTCATGACCACAATGAAAGGCAACTTGGTTTTATACAGGATACTGAAAAAGAATCAAGCAACAATTAGTAACAAGCAGCATCCAGGCAAAGCAAAGCATATGATCAGCACCCAAGTACTATTGTTAGTTTAGAATGACGCCCCTCCAGGAGGAAAATTAACTCCCTCCCCCACAGAAACAACCACAAAAATCCCATATATCTCAATATACTGGCAATGACAAATTTTAATGCTGTTAATTTGCAACTGAGTGTAAAGTTATTAGTTACTGCTCATATCAAGAAGTTATTTCACACGCCTAGTATAGAGGTGAAAATATCACTGCTAGAATGACCAAAATTAGCTGCAGAGGAGGGATCATTTTTATTCCCTCCTCTTGACAGAAGTGGTAAACTATGGATGCAGAATGCCACATTTAAACAATCAACAAGCATTATTTATCAAGGGCATGCGATATCCCATCCGCTGTCAGATACAACTGTTAGATCTGCTAGTTCTGATTAATGTTTTTTCTTATGATAGGCAGATGAGGATTAAAAGAAAAGCACCAGGTGGCAGTGGGGGATGGGGCTCACTGGGAAAGGGCTATGGAATTAAAAAAAACACACCAGTCACTTTTTTAAAATTCCACTCCTCCTGGTAACAAAGTTTCTAGGTCAACCAGTTGGACTTGCTACACCACTATCAAACAAGAAAACTGACAGTCCCAAGAGCTCCCAGACACCAATCCTCTGATATTTATAAAGTTCTTTCTGGCCAAGGCCTTTCCTTTTCTAATGTTTCTGTTTGCATTTAGTTAGAGTAGTAACTATGCCCAGCTGCCCTCCCCATTATTAGCTTTGCACTGTATAACAGCCCTCAGACTCAATGGTACCGTCCACTTTGACTTCCATGCCATTCAGTAGAGTGAAGCTGTACAGAAGGTCACGTTCACATTCCCTCTCTGATGAGCGCAATGGGGCCCTATGTGTTACACAATTACCAAGCTGGGGAGCTCAAGTGAGGGAATTCCCAGGGGCAAGAATCTGCAACAATCTTCTTAAAATCAATAAGGATTAAAATGGAAAGGTATGTGCAGTGGTGGGCCCTACCTTCCAAGAAGCCTTACCTGCATGCATACAACATGTTGGACATGAAGGTAACAGGGTTGGTGCTTCTAGATGTATCCATTATATAAATGACAATTGTTGGAAATGAGGAAGCCTGAAGAAACAATGTGAGGCACATCCTCGTCAGAGTGGTGACTACTTGACTCCAAATCACTCTGCTACTTTCCCAAGCAAAAGATGCCCTGCTCTGGTTCCCAAGCTTAAAAATGATGGGCTATGGATATGAAACAGCTGGTGTGCCACCTCCTCCATGAAGCCTTCCTTGATACTCCCCACCCCAAGGGTTTAGTGATCTTCCCTCCTCAAAATCCCTTTAATAACTTATCTATGCATATGCTCTGTTCCATCCTTGCCCTCAACAGATGTAAACAACTTGTGCCCACAAGAGACTCTTGTTTTCGTGTCTTCCTTGTTTAAGCACAGTGTCCGGCTTTTAAGTGGAGCATAATGTTTGTTCAAATGAAATGAAAATGTGGATTTATCACTCTAATCACTCCCCGACAGTGACCTCTCAATCATAGGGCAAAAACAAGACTCACCAGGGCTTCAGTGATAATTGTACCAGAAGCTGACCAAGTGAACACCTCAATCTGTCCAGGTGTATCAATCAAGACATACCTGTTTTATGGACAAATAAATAAGTATTACAACTATGTAATAAAATATTCTGAAGACATTTCCAAAGACCTCATGATGGAAAATGCTACCCACATCGAAAGAAAGAACTGTGGAGTTTGAATGCAGATCGAAGCATACTATTTGCTATTTTTTTAATTCTGTTGTGTTTTGTTTCCTCTTTCTGGTGGTTCCTCCTTAGTTCTAATTCTTACTTACAACATCACTAATGTGGAAATATGTTTAATAGTAATGTATATGTACAGCCTATATCAGATTATGCGCTGTCTTGGGGAGGGAGGTGGGGAGGGAAGGGAAGAAAAATTTAAAACTCAAAAGCTTATGGAAGTGATTTCTGATAGTTCAAAATAAATTAATTAAGAAAAAAAAAGCCACCAAAAAAAATTCTAGACGAGGGATTTACAACAGCCACTGTACAGATAACTAAAAATACTAAGCTATCCCACCATACAATATTGTCAACTCCTAAAATCTGAAACCCAGCAATTTAATATAGCACCAAACTATTAGATTATGGATGAATAACCCCAACTCCCCTTCACTAAGTACACAAAAACATATTCTCAAGGTCACCTTTGTGAACAAAGATATTAATGTGTAATCATCTAAATATAATAGATTCTTTCACAAACCTAGGGCCACAATGTAAAAACTCATTGTCTTTGGAAATGGATGTTTGAGAGAGTGGATAAAAGAGATATTTCAAGGACATAAACAAATTCTTTAAACAGATTCCAAAACACACATACACACACACACACACACACACACACACACACACACACACACACACACACACACACGAAGATTATTCTATGTCAGACACATCCAGAGTTAACCAGTCTTAGAACTGGTTAATCTCCAAATGGTCAGAAAAGTAGGACTAAGATTTAAAAATAACTTTATAACCAGGTGTTAATTTACCAACTATGACTTGATAGTTTCTATGTAGGTTCCTTTAATAATCTTAAGTAAATGCCTCTAAATCTGAAGTCAGGGTATAAGTAGAAAGATAGAGCAGATGTTAATCTCCACTTTCCTGCCTGGAGTTTAAATATTAAACACTAAGGCACACTGCTTAACTGCAAATGTGAACAGATTTTTAGACCAGAGGTGGTGAACTCCCAGCCTGCTACAAAACTCTCAGTGAAGAAATACAATAAAACCTAGATAATGTTAATTTGTGATTTTCTAAGTAAATATTCCATTTCTATTTAACTCTGACACCAGCGGTTTAGACCATTAGTTCCCCCAGGTCAGATAAGCATTGTAGATAAGCAACTATCAGATAATACTGAATAAAAAGATTATACAAAACTATCCTCCTTCCCTTTCTGAGCAAAATAATCACCCAGAAAGTACTTAATAAAATTAGCATTCTCTCTCTTTGAGCAGTGTGAGTTTAATTTATGTAAATTTAAATGGAAAGAGTGCCTCAAAAAAGACAAGTAAGTAAAAAGGACAGAAGCAATGGTGCTCAGAAGGCAGAGAAGGCTTCCTAAGAGTAGAGTAGGAAGCAAATGACTTAAGCCAGGCAAAATTCCCATTCTAAAGACTCTCTTAAAGGATTTAAGAATTATCTGAGGATATTCAGTTGAACAAATTTATTGCATATGGTTTTATGCAGCTCTCTAATTGTTCATTTCTATTTGTTTCATGTGTGTAACTCTTATCTGACTCAAAAGAAAAGGCAGGAACCAAACCATAGCTTTCTTTTGTATGTTCCACAGTGCTCAGTACAGTAAGCAAACCTATTAGGTACATATAAGGTGTTCAAAAAACTAACTGCTAATTTAAAGTTACTCACTGGGACATGTTCTGGGACTTCTCAATAAACTTCATGACCTAAAAGGAAAGAGAAATGGCTCTTGAAGATCTTTGGGACATCTATAGGTCAAGAGACCCTCCCGTGAAAGCAGCAGCACATAAGAAGACTCCAAGTTGGGAAGTATATGAATTATTTCAGGATGCTATGCACTTTAGAAACTCCTCCCATTTCACGTCCTCCTGTTTTCAAAACAGATCATACACAGATCCAACTGACTTTGAAAAAAAAAATAACACTTTCAGCTTTATAAAGCAGTTTTTATTTGGTTACATTTGGTCCTCATGACAAACCTAAAAGACAGACACAGGCATTATTATTATTATTATTATTATTATTATTTTACAGGATTTTGAATCTCAAAAGATGGAATGACTTACCCAGCATTACATAACTGGTATCAAAGGCAGGACTTGAAACTAAGTCTAACACCCAGCCAAGAGCTCTTTTTCTGTACCATACTTCCCAAGATCAGTATTTAAATAAAAATAACAGCCAACATTTATACAGTACTTGAAAGTGTGCAAAGTCATTTTCATATGTTAGTTCATCTGAGACTCGTAACTATTTTGTGAGCTAGGGAATATTACCACCCCCATTTTACAGATGAGGAAACTGAGGTTGAGAGAGGTTAACTAACAATCACACAGCTAGTATGTGGCTAAGGCAAGATTTGAACTCAGGTCTTCTTGACAGGAAATCCAGAGGTCTATCTACTATGCTACTATAAGGTAGCAACATGGGTGGGGGTACAATACAATGATCTGGATTTAAAGCTGAGAAACCCAGATCATAAATCTCATCCACGACTGACTTTGGTCAAGTTATCTGAGCCTTCTGTTACCAATATGTAAAACAGAAAAATTAAAAGTCTCACAACAATGACAGAACTATTAATAGATTAGTGATCATAAAGTTGTAATAATTTTCTGTAGAGAGTGATATAAAAAGGCTAAATGATTAAAAAAAATTACACTTTCTATTAATAAACACCTATCCTCCATCCACAATGTGCCTACCAAGGAAAGATCAGAATGCAAGTCAGTAGAACAGAAATACAACCCTGGACTTCCGGCTTTATGGCTATAAATATTATTAAATGTAAAATAATAGCAATAATTGAGATGTTTCATATTTTAGACTTTTTTCCAAAGTGCTTTCACACACATAAATTCATTTTATCAACACAATAACCCCATGAGGTATAAAGGATAGATATTATTATTATTATTATTTTATTATTATTATTTTACAGATCAGCACACACAGAAAGGTTAAGTGAGTTACCCAAGACTACCTAGCTAGAAAGAGGCAGAGATGATATTAGAACCAAGTCTCCTAACTCCTGAGTCCAAGGTTCTTTCCACTCTATCATAGTAATCTTTCCTTGCAGCTTTTTACTCAATTAAGGCATCCTAACTAAAACGGCATCTGTGCTGACATTTCCTACATTTATATTCAGATTTATCCAGACCTTTTCCTCATAAAGTGGTCAAACAAGCAAACAAAGCAAATAAGAGCCACACTCTTATTGTACTACAGAAGAGGAGACATGCATACCTGATCAAACCTGGTAGCAAAGAGATTAAGGGAGGTCACTATGCCACCATTGGGTCCAAGTCCATATCTAGATACAAAGTTTAGGAATTCAAATGCTTACAAGCAATCTAATAGAATTCATATCCAGTGTAACACAGATGCAAACATCACTGACATTAATGTGATGGAGCTAGGCTTTGAGAAACTGCAAACCTAATTCCAAATTAACACATTTAACAAAAAACTAAACCTCCTCACAAAAGTTCTATGTGACAATTGAAGGTACAAGGTCTTCTTTTAGTCCTCACTTCATAAGGATAGGAGAAATGAAGGACTTTAAATGAAATGAAAAATCTTCAAATTTTATAAGTTCATGTTGTAATTTATTACCCATTTACAAATTTATTACAAATTTGGGTTTATGTCAAGGAGGCTGAAACCATTTAAGAAAGGCTTCTAGATTAGCTATAATATATTTTCCAGACCCACCCTCCATTTTTCCCCTTTAAAATTAGTTACTTTATTACAATCACATGTTTGGGCTAGTATTTGTCATGAAGTATGAAATATAATGCAAAGTCTTCTAAATTTATAAACATAGCCAGAAAAAAAACAAATGGGAGTTAGAAAACACTAAAGTAGATATGGAAAAGGATATTGTTTCATGACTTCCTTATATTTCACTGTGTCCCGAATATCTAAAAAATAAAAATAATAATAATAATCAGACCAACATTTGGGAGACTTCAGAACACCATTTTAGAGCATTATATCAATGGTCTCAAAAGTGTTGGGCAATGAAGTAATTTCCTTTTTTATTTTTTTTTGGTGAGGCAATCAGAGTTAAGTGACTTGCCCAGGGTCACACAGCTAGAAAGTGTTAAGTGTCTCAGGCTGGATTTGAACTCAGGTCTTCCTGATTCCATGGCCAGTACTCTATCCACTGCACCACCTAGCTGCCCCTCTATTTCCTCTCAAGTGCAGAATTTCTTCCTCACCATCAGAATGTGTCCTTATGTCTGTCTCCTACGTGTTCCACATCAGATAGTAAGACTGTGGAAACAGAATGGGTAGAGAAACAGTGCTACATGAAGGAAGAACAGAAAGGGTAATTTCAGCCTATTAACCCTTATTGACATTATTCCCCCTTTCCCCCAGTAGGCACTAGCAGTCAGACTTCTAAGCTATTCTAGACAATTTTCTCTTAGACCAACTTTTCACACTGGTTCTCCTTGGGTACAAAGGCATAATCATCAAAATAGTTCATACAGTAACCTGGAAGCTCACAGGAGAGAGGGGAATTTCCAGTTACATGGCAGTGATGTTCTCATGAAATGATGGGCTGGAGTAGAGTCAGGAAATGTACAAAACATACAAAATTTTTCTTTGAGGGCCATAATTCAAAGACACACCATCCAAATATGAACATGACACACAGAAATAACTTATAAATTTCATTCTGTTTCCCACCTTCCCAATTAACTCTAAGTAATGAAGGTATCAATTCAACTCAGCAACAATTTTTTAAACGTTTACTTAAAAAAAGAAAGCACTATATTATGTATTGGGAATGCAAAGATGACCTTGTTTTTAAGTAGTTATAATCTAGAGGGGGTTAACACATATACACACAAACACAGGCATGATAACAAAATTTGGTATGACAAAGGAAGGGTCTACACAAAGGTCTAAAAGAAATACAAGAAAGGAGATAAAACTTTCAGGTTGAGGGTGGGGAGAAGATCAAGGAAAAGGGTAAGACTTCTTGAAGAAGGTAGCATGTTAAGTGGGTCACGGTGGTCAATAGATGTTAAACATTAAGTGCCCATGTGCGAGGCACCATGCTAAGCACTAAGAATACAAAAAAAGGCAAAAGACAGTCCCTGCCCTCCAGGAGCTCATAACATAATGGGGGGGGGGGGATCATGAAAGAATGAATTTCTCATGTGATCTATAACTAGACTTTCCAAGAGATATCCTCCCATAACACAGAGCTGAAAGGAACCTCAAAACTCATCTAATCTTGAACTCCTGAACAGGAATCTCCTCCTTAAAATCCCTGAGTGAGTGGTCACACTGCCTCCACCTACAAACCTACAGGGTCCCAAAACAGCCAATCCCACTTCAGGACAAGCTCTGATTGTTAGGTCGTTTTTCCTTAAGGGAACTTGGAGGGACCAAGTCCAATCCCTCATTTTATAGATGATTCACCCATGGTCACACAGCTAGAAAGTACCCAAGGCAGGACTGGAATCCAGAATTTTCTGACTCCAAGTTCAGTGCTTTATTTACAATACCATGTTGCCTCTAGGGTGTTATAGAAAAGCTATTTGTAAACCTTAACAGAGTGGAACCTCATTTTAAGGAAGTGTCCAGGCCAACCATGTTCACTCCTTCACTCTTATCCAATCCTGACTCTCTAAAAATTTTTCTAAACCATGCCCTCAGCTTTCCTTTCCTTCTCACAACCCCTCAGCTTCTTTTTATATATCATCTTTCCACATCAGAATGTAAGCTCCTTGAGGGCAGGGACTACTTTCTTTCTTCCTATTCATATTTGTATTCCTAGCACTTAGCACAGTACCTGGCACACAGACAGCATTAAATAAATGCTTGCTCACTTGAAATGAATTATGTTAAGTCAAAACTTTACTGTTCTGAAACTTCCACTCATTGCTCTATGTTGAAGAAGCAGCATGACATTAATGGCTTTCCATTAGACTTGAAGTCAAAAAGACCTGGTTTGAACTAGGTTCTGATACTTCTTAGCTATAACTCTGGGAAAGAATTTCTCTAAGCTTCATCTGTAAAATACACACAATACTTTTACCATGTACACAGTACAAGAGGATCAAAAGATCATACAGTTAGACCTGGAAGGGGCCTTAGGGACCATCAAGTTCAACCCCCTCATTTTGCTGATGAAGGAACTGGGTCACACAGAGGTTATTAAGTGACCTGCCCAGAGTCAGACAACTATAAAGTTTCTGAGACAGGATTTGAACTCAGGATTTCATGATTCCAAGTCATTGCCTTATCCACTATGCCACACTGCCTGTGGGGTATTGTAAAGAAAGCTATATGTAAACCTTAACACACCAAATAAATCTGAGTTATGTTACTGACTTCCAAGGCCTAATATTTCTTCCATGTGATATAGTTTCCCCCAAGCTAAACATCTCTACTTCCTGCAAATGACCCTCATTTAGCATCTCCAAAGCTCCTTCCTCATTCAGTTTGCCCTTCTCTACATATGTACTCTAGTCTGTCAATGATCTTCTCAAAAGGTGGAACTCAGAGCTGCCTACCATACTCCAGATACAATATGACCCATTCTAAGCAGAATCAACACAAATTATGAATGAACCTTTCACTAAGCACTTTTGATAGAAGAACTTGAAAAAATAACTTTAAGGCATGAGCCAGCTTAAAAAGCTAGAAAGTTTTTCTGAACTAAAATGCATATAAATTTGTACGATTAGGTATATTTTCAAGTAATTGTGACCCCATTTTCACTTGGCCCTTATTTCATGAGAAGTATTCTTTTTTAGAAACAGCACACTCATTTTACTAGTCTGCCTCTGGAAGTAACTTAAAAGCTATATGCACAAGTTCCTTAAGGACAGAGAATATTCTGTTTTGTATTCCAGGTACCTAGCACAAGAATAAGAACAGAAATAGGGATTGGACCTATAATTTCATTGGTATGGAAAACTCTCAGATGAGGAAATTCCCTGTATAAATGAAGCACCTTTGCAACTACATTAGAGTTGCCTAGAGCACTGAATTCAGATCTTCCTAGTCAAGGCTGGCCTTCCATCTACTTAACTCCACTTTGCCTGTGCTGTAGCAAACCATTTACTTAACAAATGAATCTTGGATACAGAGAATGAAACAACCTTTCAGTCCAAATCTTCAACACTTCCACAAACTAAAATTAGTATCCTGGCTTAAAAATTCCATTCCAATTTACAGGCATCTTATGATCAAAGACAACATGATTTTAGGTTACCCAAAAGGATGAGAAGTAGAATAAAACTATGGCTTGGGAATCAGGAAGCCCTAAAACACAACAAGCCTAAGTGACACTAGGAGTCAATAACTCAGGGTCACAGATTTAAAGGAGGAAGAGTAAGTCATCATCTAGAAGAAACTCTAATTATTTAAATGGGAACAATTAAGCTGTACAAAAATGGAATGAGGTACTATGGACAGGGGCAGATTCCTAATCCCAGGCAGTCATCACGATCGAACTCTTGTCAGGGATATTACAGCTGGCACTTGTGCTTCCCGTGTACACTGAATGACTTGTTTAGTTGTCAGATGTTGGTTCATTGTAGGATTAGATCAATCAATAAGCTTAAGCATTCCCACACATAAAAGAAAGCTGCAATTCCCCTCAATATGCTAGGCTGCCCCAGGTTTCTTCCAACTCTAAGTAAAATTTGAGCCTCTTAAAATATCTCAATGTCTATTGCTGAGTTAAATGTCTTCCTCAGTTTCAAATTTATCCCATACACAGCTTATTTGCACTTTTTTTTTCATGTTGTCTCCCCTTTTAAGACAGTGAGCTCCTTTTGAGTAGAAGCTTTTATCTTTTTTTTTTCCTTGTATCCCCAGCACTTAGAACAGTGCCTGGCACACAGAAGGTACTTAATAAATGCTTATTGAGGGGGCAGCTAGGTGGCGCAGTGGATACAGCACCGACCCTGAAGTCAGGTGGACCAGAGTTCTGATCTGACCTCAGACCAAACACTTGACACTTACTAGCTGTGTGACCCTGGGCGAGTCACTTAACCCCAATTGCCTTAAAAAAAAATGCTTCTTGACTGACTGTTGGAGAGCGAACCTTTTGTCACTTCAATTTCCCAAATCTTGGCAAATAACGTCATAACATCCCCAGCTGGGCAAACAGGGCAGCCGGACAGGAGGAAGAGAGGGAGGGACAGCACAAGGTTGGGACGCTGGAGGCTGTATAAAAGTGGTCGAGTTGGCAATAACTCAACAGGCATTCAGTGCTCGACCAGCAATTTCTTAGGGCTCCTCGACATGCCGGACCCATGCTCGAGCCGACTCACCGATGTTGGCTGGGAAGGGGACCTCGTGCACCGCAGGGTCCAGGTTGATCACGTAGGGGGGCGAGCCCAGGCCGTGAAGGTATCCCGTGAGCCTCTGCGGGAGTAACCGCGGGAGACAAGGAGATGAAGGTGGTAGTGGAGGTGGTCCCGCCATCCCACCACCGCCACCCCGGACCAGCCCCAGCCCGGGCCCCTCCAGCAAGAGCCTCTCCCCAGCTCTCGCTTCCGCGCCTCACCTGTACGAAGGTCGTCTTCCCAGACCCCGCCATCCCCAGCACCAGGAGACACACTGGAGGTCGGGACCGAGGCCGGGACTGAGGAGCCTCCGCCTCCGGAGCCGCTGCTCCCACGGAGGAATCCATCTTCCCACGGAATAAGACGGCGCCTGCGCACAGCGATACCGGAAATAACTTTAATGAGACTGAGTCCGGTTCGCACAGCCAGCAGGCAGAGTGGGGCGGGGTCAGAGCTTCGGGCGGGTCTGGAGACAGGGCCAGGGACCCAGGAGGAGGCGGGGCCAAGGGCGGAACCAGCACAGGGATTTGAGTAGAGTAGAATCGGAGGCGGGGCCAGAAGAGGGGGCGGAGCCTGCACAGGGACCTGGGATTGGGGTGGAATCTGAAGCAAAGTCGCACAGTTTGGCTACCATCCCTAGGCTGGTTTTAAAGAGGTTCTGAGGCTGGAGTGGATCAAGAATATCCTTGATCAGAAGCAAAAAGAAAGCACAGGTGAAGAGGTGGAGGGGAGACCGGGCTACAAAAATGGTGAAAAGTTGGACTCGACCCAATTGGGGAAGGGCTGTGAATTGAACGAGAGTCCAAAGTCCTCCAGAGAAGAAAGCTGTCGGGAGGAGAGCGACGACACCCTGAGCTCCGACACTGTGCCTGCCACAGGCAGAAAAGAACTGGGCAAAGGCGAGTATTGTGTCCTCTGTACAGTGCCCAAGACCCCAGACCAGGACAAGAATTCTCCGTACTCTGGCCCCGGGAACGTTCAAAATGGGCTACGGGACCTTGGTCTTCCTGTAGCACTGCACATCGACACTTGTTGGGTGCCCAGAAGTTTCCACGGGGAGGAACTCTGTCTTTCGCGTGGATTTCCTTCCCTGGCCTCCACTCCCACCACCCCTATACACAATGTCCAGCACTTTTGGGATCAACACTTGAGTACACGTAACAGGTGAGCTCAAAAAGGGTCAGAGAGAGCAAACGAGGAAAAACCCTTTCCAAAACAGAGACCAAGGAGGGGATGAGGGCGGGGGGAAGGTTAGCTAGCAAAAGGTGGCAAAAGTCAATAGCTAAAAAAAGATTCTCCCAACTTTTCTCCCAGTTCTTCTGCACCGGACAGAGCATTTGCCTCAGGTAAGGAGCCGGAAGGGACCTCAGAGACTTTGTAGTGCAACCCACACGTGAGACAAAAATCCCCTCCACACTAGGGCAGCTAGGTGGCAGTGGATAGAACACTGGCCCTGAAGTCAGGAGGATCTGAATTCAAATTACGTTTCAGGCACATAACACTCAGCTGTGTGACTCTAAGCAAGTCACTTAACCCCAACTGCCTTACCAAAAAAAAAAAAATCCCTTCCACAACATGCCAAAAATAATAAATAGCCTTTGCTAGAGGACTTCCAGAGAGAGGGAATCTTCCAATCAATCAACAAGCATTTATTAAGCACCTATCAGATATTTCGATAAGGAGCTGGAGACAAAAATGCAAATAAGGTTTTAAAAACTTTTTGTCCTTAAATTTTCTTGTCAACCTCAGAACATCCTGAGTTTTACCATCACTAAATCTATTCTTACAAAACAATGGCATACTTTTGTACACCTCTTCTGTAACCTCCCCTACCTCCTTGGGTTTTGGCAATACCCAGAGGCCAAAGGCTGTGACAGATGCTAACAAGCTGGAAAAAGTAGATTGGTTGAGCAATATTGTCACCCAAAGACCAGCCTAGCTAAGATCAAAAAACTTCATTACCTAGAGTTTGGCTACCAAATGATGAATTTTTTGGCCACAGCAATGCATAAAACAATTTACAAAGAAAGGCACATTAGGAGTTGCAGTCTGTGTCAATAAAAGGAGAACATACAATAAAACCATGTTATCTTTTGAACATAACAGCTCACATTGTCCTCTGAATTTTTGAGAGTTCCTTAGGAGAGGTGAAAGAATAAGGTTGGTTGCTTGAGGCAATGAAGAATAACACATTGTCATGGAAGATATTATAAGTGACACTAAGGTAATAATAATAGCTCACAAGTAATCATGAAGGTGTAATGGGCAAATAATTTGTTTCTGCTGCTTTTCCCCTTAGGTTTTCTCAGGGTCCTAGAATGATATGTCAGAATCTGAATCGTAATGTTTGCTCCCTAATGGGTAGCAAAAAGCTACAGCAGTTGTTAAAGTCACAGGAGGAGTTGGAGAAAAAGATGCAGAAAGAGCTGGCTACAAAGGCACAAGTAGAGCAGGAAATGATCCAGCTAAATAGAGAACTGATGAAAACACGAGCCCAGAGGAAGCAGCTCATAGAAGATCACTGTCACATGCAAGCTGAAATCCAACCATTCTCAGGTGACAGTCCTCTCCTAATGGGATATGTACCTGATCCAACCAAGCCAAAACAGGTAGCACCAATTAAGGTATGGGATCAACAGACACAGCAGTTGGAGCAGATACAGTGGCAAAGGCAGGAACTGATCTCCAGTTATGAGTTCCATACATCATCACTCCGGGAGGAGCTGCTTCGACAAGAAGAGATCAAAGCCCAACTGAAAAAGAAGATTCACACATTAAATGCTAGGAGGACAGTGCAGATTACTCAGGAGGAGCATATCAAATCACTGCAAATGGAAAAACCAAGAATCCAGAAGGAGGCAAAAGCACACCTTCAGAATGCACAAAATGATCTTGTTAAAGAATGGAGAGTGCTAAGGCATCAGCTGTCTGATGTAGAGATTTTGCTGGGGAAAATTATGATGGGAAAGCACAACCATGTCCTGGAGCATGCGGCAGACAAATCTATCCTTAATTTCACCTGGCAACTGCAAAATGAGAACAAACAATTACATAAGGAAATGGGGCACCTCATTCAAGAAGCCCAACAGCTAGAGGCCCAACGGACTAGGCTCCGAAGGCAGAAACAGCAGCTGCAACTACAGCAGTGTTGCCTGGAGAGCATCAAAGAAGGGAGGCGGCGTAAACTACTAATTCCCTGCCAGAAAGGACAAAGCAGTGCGAAGACCACACTGGCCCCTTTCCCAGGTACCAAACCAAGGATGAACTCATCCTAATTAGTGAGAATATTTATTAAATGCCCACCTAAGCAGATGTTGTTAGTTGCTATACAAAGCAGGTTAAGTGATCCCTGCCCTCTAAGATCTTATAATTTAAAATGGGGAAAAAAATAAAATGAATTTAAATAGCAGGCTGTCAGACTGTAGAAAGAGGGATGAAACACAACAGTAGAAAAAGTTCATATTTAAAAATCCTTTTTTGGTAAAATCTCTGTTGAAAATAACTTATGGTAATAGCTTATTGAAATAATTAGGAGAGGTCACTTAGCTCTTCCTCTGTAGTACTGTTTAATATTTAATTCCTGGAGTTATCTATACCTCCCTCCCTCACCTTATCCTCTGATGATTGAAACCATCTCAACATCTTCCTGTATCTCAACACTTAACTGAGTGGGCTTCTCTGGCTACTTACCAGACACTCTCTACAGTGGACCAGAAGAGGAGCAAGTCAAGCTATGGATGTTCACATTTTCTTTTGGCCTCAATGTTATCTTTCTTCAAAGGATAAACTTCTCTTTTTGATGGCAACCATTTATGTTGACTGCACAGTGCTAGCATAGACATTCCAAAAATCTCAGGTTAAGCCAATACAGGTAGGTGTCCACCTGTTATTTCTAATTTTTGTTGCCTTGCTCTTTACACCCATTTGTTTGAACCATTCCAACACAAACAGGGAAGTACAGGCCTCAAAGTGCTGTTAGCAAATCTGAGACTTCAGGTTAGGGGAAAAGGATATTAAACTCACATGCCAAAGACCTAGTAATTGCCTTTTTGCTTTTGGTTTGTCTTGGTGTTCCAATGAAGCATGAAGTACTCTTGTAAATATGTCAGGGGGGCCCTGTGGTAGTGAAGGACAAGAAAATGACCTAACAGAATTCCCTATTTCCTGGTAGCATTGTTTTGATTTGATACTAAGTAACTTAGGTTTAGTTTTGAATTTAACTGAGAATGGTAGGTGAAAATATACGTAAGGATTTGTCTAATTTTTAACAAAGCTTTGCAGTGGAAGAAATAATTATCATCATTGTGGCACCCTAGTCCATGGAATAATTTAGGATACCTATTCTACAAGGACATCTGAAAGAAAAAGCAGCTGTTTTAGTTCAGATTTCCCTTAGACAACTGTTGAAAGAGAAAAGCACCATTCTAAATCATCCCTCACTCTCCACCCTTCTGAATTCCAAAGTTATTATAAGATAAATTTTAATCCAATTTATTGGTATAGAATTGTATTTTCATGCGTCATATGTACATTTATAGTATATTGGGGCCTTCATCTAGATGTCTTAGAACACATTCCCATTTTTTAGGACTAGGAGCATAGTTTTACTATTTCCGACTATTGTGGTTTTATGGTAGTTATCTTTGTTCGTAACGTTTTTGGTCTTTTGTATTCGTTGGTATAGAATTATATTTTCACATGTCACATGTATATTTATAGTGTACTGGGGCCCTCATCTAGATGTTTTAGAACTCATTCTCATTTTTAGGAATAGGAGCATAGTTTTATTATTTCAGATTATTGTAGTTTCATGGTGGTTATCTTTGTTCATAACATTTTCAGTCATATGTATTTATTGGTATAGCATATTTTTACATCATGTGTATATTTATAGTGTATTAGGGCTCTCATCTAGATATGTTTTAGAATACATTCCCATCTTTTAGGATGAAAAGCATAGTTTTACTGTTTTGGGTTATTGTGGTTTTATAGTACTTATCTTTGCTTATATTTTCAGTCATATGTATGGTATACTTGATGGCTTGCTCAGGATCAGAGTCTTCAAATTCTAACGTTTTTCAAAGGAGAAAATAAAATCCTTTTTATGATGTGGTTTTCAGCAAAAGCCCAGTGGTTCAGATGCTATATATATATATGTGCAATTCTTATTGAATAAATTGTTCAAATGTTTATCTTCTGAATTTTGGGAGTCTTCTTTATGAATAAGGAGAATCTAGTGTAAAATAAAGATCAAGAAATTAAAGATTTCTTCACTGTGCCATCAACACTTGGAACTGGCAATCTTTTTGTATGTTAGGAGTACCAGCATGTTGTAGATAGCAAAAAACATTTAAGTCCTACCCATGAGGCGTGTGTAGCTCTGGGCAAGTCATATAATCTCTCAGTGCTCTTAGTTAACTGTCTAAAACTGTAAATTGCAGAGACGGTATCATCTTGCATTGGTATAGCAAGTTTTCTCACTTGGGAGTTCTCTATTCCTGAAAAGACATTTCCTAGCCCCCCATCCCCAATTACTGCATAAAAGCCAGTGAACTACAATTTATTCACTGACCTGATTTTACTTATCAATGGCCCAATCTAGTATGTTTTCCAACATACCACAATGCCTCCTCATTAATACCTATTGGTTAGTTCATACTCTTCGTAAGTCAGAAAATTCCATTCTTTATACAGAAACCACAACTTGCTATAGAACTTTTGGTGGCATGCAATCAGCTTGCACGTACCTCTTACCTCCGGATCCTTTTTTCCTCTCTATGATTTCTAGCTGCAAACCTAGGATGAATTCATCATTCTTTTTTATTATTAAGACCAATCTAAAAAACAACAACAACAACACTATAACGCATAGTTTGGTGTCCATTCTAGTTATTATTCCTGGGTAGGCCTATTCCCATACCTTTTTTCCTAGTCGACAGTGTTCCTCACGTGTGTACTTACTTAGACCCATAAACATGCACAAATACATACATGATCCACATATACAAATGCAAATTCAGAGCGGGTATTGGAATTGGGGAAGGCACAGAGCTATAAGACCAGGCTGAAAGAGTTTGTTATGAATTTGACCTGAATAGGATGACATCAATAACCAGTTATCACCTTGCTGATAATGCTGGAGTTGCAGTCTTCTCTCCATCACTAAGGAACATGCATGGGTTCTGGGCAAAGAGAGTAGATTATGAAGGAGAACATGATGCAATCTGAAGACTGTCTTGCTGGGAGTCCAAATAACTCCCAAATGGATGGGCAACTCATCTCATCCCATTATTTCTTCTCACAGGCCTAGGTTAATTTCCAGACAATAAGGACAGAAAATACTTCTAGTTAAAAAATAATTCTACCTAGATATTTGTTCTTCAATAGCCTGGCCATAGCCCCTATGGCAAGCCAAGGTGTTGAATTACCTCTGAGGGAATTTAAGGAATTAACTTAGGAAAATAAATTAAATTCTAAAGTAATTATTTTGTCAACAATGAGTTTACTTCTTCCTGCTCCCTGGCATAGGCTGAATTCTTACCTTATGATAGGAGAGAGACAGCAGGGAGTGAGACATTCAAAATGACAAATATCTGCCTTAAAGAGAATAATTTAAATTATTTTCAATACTATGGCCCAAGGAAAGGCAAAGACAAATCACCCCCAAAGCACCCGATGTAGGGTTGTAGAATCTTTTCACTTTTATTTCAGATTCAGTATCACCATTCTGATCAGTATGCTGGTCTTAGTTAAATGTTGGCTCAGTAGTCAGACAACAAACAGGAGTCAAAGAACAGCTAGAGACATCAGTCTAGTAAATGGACGTTTATTTCCTTCAGTGTTATCACCTACACCCCAAGTTTTAACTTTATAGGATGTACGTATATCACTCTTCCATCGCCCCTCCCAGGCAGTCCCTATTCACTTTACAGCCTGGATTTCAGGGCATAGTCGTGCAAGAAAAAATAAAAGTAACACAGGAGTCTCTTCCCATCTGCTGCTCCTGGCAGCAAAGAGGCCAGGTTTTACTTCTCACTTACTAGAAATAGCACTTCTTGTAAGGTGCTCTTCTGAGGTAAGATCAACTGGTAGAGCTAACTTCACATCTCTCCAAACTCCTGTTTTGTCTTTTTTTTTTTTGAGGACAGAAAACTGGAAGAATTACAGTTTTACAGAATCCAAAAGTGATTCTTGCCACTTGCCACTATTTATGACATGTGCCAGGGACAAGGATCAGGTTTTTCATGTACTATATATATAGCACATGAAACAAATGGAAGCAAGGCTATGGGACCTGCATTTTGGGGTAAGAAGGTGGTGAGACCAAGAATAATGAGAAGCTGATACAAATGACACCCCAAAGAAAATCAGTCTCAGAAATAAACATCCTAATAGGGATGGCTGGGTATGCGAGAGGGTAAAGAGGGAAAGTCTCTTTTTTTCCAGCTCTGGCTAAGTGCTTACTTACATCCAGTCCTGAAGTCTCAGGATCCTAGACTAAGGGGCCTCCCAAGAGAGGGCCCTTTCATAGTCACCACTCTGCAAGAGGGTAATAACCCAGGGAGAATTCAGAGAAGAGGCAGCACAATGACTGGAGGGAGAGGTAAGGGTTTAGACTGTGGAGAATGGCTACTAAAAAGTTCACCGTGTCTAAACAGAAGCTCAAGGGAAAGGGAATGTGCACTTAAGCTGCTGACACATATGGCATCACTAGGAACAGCAGGACATCAAGTATACCTAGTGAGATGCCTCTTAACAATTAAAACTAAGGAAGTGCAGTACAAACTTTTAGGAGCTGATCTCAGCAACAGATGTGACCCCAAACACCAGGAAAGCTCATGCTGGACAATAATGCTCACGTTGCCCTCTCCTTTCTAGTCATTTTACAGCTATTCATGTATTTCTGTAGAGCCTATGTTTTTCATGACTATGAATCCAGTAAAAAAAAGCATTTCCCAGTAACACCCAAAGTGCAAGACCAGTCTTCTGACTCACTCTGAGTTCATGTTCAACTGGGCTACCTACATCTAATCTTGCTCCATCAAGGTCATGCCACCAGGAGGAGCAACTGGGCTAACAGAAAGAAATGCCTGACAGATGTCAGCACCAAATAGAGGCATCTAGACTAGTTATATACGAAGCATAATATTATAAACTGTATGTGGTGAACAGCAGTTGCGCTGTTTTACAGATTAGATGGTGGGTTTTAGTAGCAAGTGGAAGAGTTGGGGAAGGAAAGGCAGATAAAAATTTTCCTAATCCCAAACCCTAAACCTCAGCTTTTAATATGCTAACTATGGCCACTTCACCTCAAAGAGGAAAATCCAACAGCCAAGAGTTTCCCACTTTTGTTGAGGGAAAGAAGATGACATCAGCATGGTAAAGATGACAGTGGAACTTTAAGGCGTACAAGAGTTGGGGAGACAGGACATTCTGGAGAGAGGGAGCCCAGAAGTCCAAAGAGGAAGAGGACGAGTAGGAATGACTTGAGAAAATTACTAAAGAGAAAGGGGCTGAGAGGACTCCCCAGTTCCAGGGCCTCTGGGCCAACAGTGCCCCATCCCTTCACACAGAGATGCTCTTGCACTGGCCTGTTATTTCCTTCCACGTTTATGGCTGGTCTTCGAGAGCTTCACTGTCTGGAAGCACACTGGCACGGGCACTTGTTCTGGCTCTAGCTCCTCTCCCTCAGGGTTCTCGCCAGAGGCTGAGCCTGCCAGGCCCTTCCCTCCCCGACGATCTGACTCTTTCTTGTCCGGCACAGCCTCTGGTGGCCGAGGCTGTTTTCTACCGGCCCTCGGCGACATCCTTTTCTTGTGCTGCTGCTGCCACCGCCTTTGCTCCTCCTGCTGATGCTGCATCTTCATCAGCTTCTCAAAGCTTTTGGTTGTTGTGGTGTTCACCATGAACCAATCCTAGGGATTCAGAAAAGAAAGGATATCAGTTCAAGACAAGTGGGGGGACACAGAAGGAGGAACGTAGGGACACAGAGAAAACAGGTACTGGGGGAAGGCAAGCCAGGGAAGCAAGAAAAGGGTACAACTATCTAAAGAGAATCACAGATCAGAAGAAAGACAGGAATTGAGTAAGAAAAGTTTTCTTACCACATGGTAACTTAAAAAAAAAAGTATGACTCTAAGTAGAGGCAGCTGGAGATAGGTGATTAAATTTTCTATACAGAAACTAAGTTGCTAGGAGCTGCTCCTGATCTGGTAAATAGTTTTGCCAGTTCCAAGACAAACAATCACTTAAAAAAAAAAGACTTTGGGGGCAACTAGGTGGTGCAATGGATAGAGCACCAGCTCTGCAGCCAGAAGGACCTGAGTTCAAATCTGGCCTCAGACACTTGACACTTACTAGCTGTGTGACCCTGGGCAAGTCACTTAACCACAACTGCCTTGCAAAAAAAAAAAAGAGAAAAAAAAGAACTGCAAACCATTAATAACCATATGAAAGAATGATCTAAACCACTAATAAGAGAAACGCAAATTTAAAAAAAAACCCCGAAGTTTCATATCACACCTAACAAATTGACAAAGATGACAAAAGATGAGAACAGTCAATGTTGTAGAGGTTGTGGGAAGACAGGTACATTAATGCTATATTTGGTGGAGTTGTAAATCAGCACAACTTTTAGGAAAACAATTTGGAATTATACAAATAAAGTGATTAAAATGCCAAGAGAGTCCAATACTAAGCACATACCTCAAAGGTCACTGATAGAGTGTCTATAAACACCAAAATATTTACAGTATCATTTTTTTTGTGGTTGCAAAAAACTGGAAATAAAATTGCTGCCCATCAAGTGAGGAACAGCTAAAGAAAATTGTGGTACATGAATGTAGTGGAATATTGCTCTCCTATAAGAAACAATGAATGTAACAAATACAAAGAAACATGGAAAAGCTGGCATGAACTGACGCCAAGTGTGGTAAGCACAGCCAAAAAAAACAATCAATATAATAACCACAACAATATAAATGAAGTATAACAAAACAACTGAAAGTAAATATTGCAAAATTACAAAGAACAAGGATGGCTAAAAAAAAAAGATTAGTAAAAACCTCCATTCACTCTTTTGCAGAGGTGGGCAGTCTACGGGTATGGCACTGACTGTAAACATTTTCAGTCTTTTTCCAATGTACTGATTGGCTTTGCTGATTTTTTTTCCCTTTCTTTTTATCAAAAAAAAAATCTTTGACATATGGGATGGATCTCGACTTGATGGAGAAGTAAGGATATAGGAAGAAATTTAGGTGATGTAAAAACAAAAGCAATCAATAACAATTTATTGAAAGACATCAGTGCCTCTTCTGAACATACAAAGGAAGACAAACTCTCATGCTTCAAACACCAAGGGTCACAAAATACAAAAACTACATATATAAAACTGAAATCTCACCTCAGCATGGACGGAGTTGATGTGGTATTTGACACCACTCTCTGACACGAACTCCTTCTCACACAAGAGGCACTTATATTTTCCAGCCACAAAGTCTCCCTGTCTCCATGAGAGAGAGGAAAAAAAAGGAGACCAGTAGCTTCTTGGTAAATCCAAGAACTTAGCAGTAGGTCTAGGAATCCCGAGGGATAAAAGTAAGGGAAGAGGAAGCTGACCTTAGCAAAGGACAGAAGGGTAAAACATCATGTAAAGGATTTATGTCAAAGGACTGGCTCTGCTTTCACACTACCAAGGACACACATACCTTAGAGCAGTTCTGCACCAAACCCTAATCCTGCCCTCTATATGACCTGTTCTTCTGTCTTTGCCACATAAACATCAAAGTGTTCCTATATTCCCAGGTTTCTTCCCACTTTCACACCCAAGTTTCCCTGTTTCCAAAAAGGGTCATATTTATTACAGGTCCCTAATCTCAACTCTAGAGACAATAATTCGCTATTCTTTCCATTAAAAAAGCAAAGCAGTTGGAAAGGTCCACCCTGTCATTCACTACATCTCCTTGGCTACTATGAGTGCCTGACAAAAGAGTACTATCCACAACACCTAGTATAAAGAGTCTTTGGAACTAAGACCAAGGTGATAAACTTCTAACCATTCTTGGACAGATCTTGCTTGGAGGCCTCTAATTCCCAACTCTGGACTGAGACTTCTCTCC